CTTCTTTAGGAAAAAACAAATCTGAGATGCTGTTCAGAAGATTATGTGCCACTGCACTCCGCAAATTTGTTTCTTATCGTTGTTTGTCCTTTCCTCTTTCTCCACAAGGTAAGTGGAATTCTGATTATATCCTCTGCTCTTACAAGGTGAGGAAGAAAGAAGCAACACCTCATCCTAAACAACAGCAAGTAAGGTTAATTGTAAAACCAAGAAGATGGAAGTTTTGGGCCCCAAAAGCAGCTTTAAACTTTATTAGTAATTTCTTTTTAATTGTGAAATATTCCATAGATTGTTATGAGAAAGCCCAATAGCGTGAAGTTATTTATGGCCAGACACCAGAATCTGTGTGTCTGCATATTACCAGTTAACTGAGTTAATGAAAACACTATGGATAGTGCACTTCCTTCCCCAGAAAAATAAACCTTTCCTTTCCCAAAAACATAAACTTTTTTGAGCCCTATGTCATATATTTGCAAGGCTACGTATGTCAAACCGAGACACTGAAGCAGCACCATAGCAAAACAGATCTGCTAAGTCAAAGTAACCTATCTGCCATCACTGCCCAATCAAAGCCCCCCAGTAAGCCGCAGAAAGCAACATCAAAATACAGAACAAGGAGCCACGGGCTCTAATTTTATCCGTAAAACTTTGATTTCCGCAGGCCGGGCCGGGCCGGGCCGGATGAGACACCGATGTCGGAGTCCCGCGGCCGCCGCTCGCCAGCCCGGGGAGCGCGTCCCGCCCGGCTGCGCCGCGACCCCGGGGCCCCGGCCGGGAGAGCCGCGCTCCGAGCGGAGCCGCCGCCGGGGCAGCAACGGCCGGTCCGCGGCCGGAGGCCGAGCGGGAGCGGCGGCGCTGACAACTGCAGGCCTGGAGAGCGGCCTGGCAGCACCGGGCCCGGGCTGACGGGCGGCCCCTCCGCCACTCCCCGTTCGCTGAGCCGTGCTGAGCCCCCAGCGGGGCGAGAGGGGCAGCCGAGCCCGCCGTGCCCGCCGAGCCCGCGTTACCTGCGCCGCACTCCCGCCGCGGCCCCGCCGCCTCCCGCACCTCCGGACCCTCCGCACCGCCGCTGGAGGGCGCTGCCGCCACTGCCCTCGGCTCTGACCCGAGCGGCCTCGGGAACCTTCGGGCCGGGGCGGGGCCGGGCCGCGCTCCCGCCGCTCCGGGCCCGCCCCGCGCTCCCGCCGCCGGCAGCAGCCCCGAGGCCGCGGGGCTCCGGACTCTGCCCGGGACGCACCGCCCGCACTCCGCCCCCCGCCTGCCGAGGTGCCGGGCGTGCGGCCCCGAGCCCGCTCCAGCGCAGGCCGTGGGACGCCCCGAGTCCCGCACACGGGCCTTGCTGCGGCCTCTGCAATTCCCGCCGGGATCCCGGCTCCCCGCGTCCCGGCGGAGGCAAAGGCCGGCACCTGCCCTACGGCTGAGCGTGTGGATAGCGCCGTGCAGACGCTATTTCCCGCCGAGTGTCATTTCCTTCCCGGGGGCACCGGCGCTGCTCTGCCAGCGCTGACGCAGCCGGCACCTCCGCCCGGCACCGAGGGCAGCTCACAGCCACACCTGAGCCCACACCCGCCCCAGCTCCTCCTCCGGGAGCGTTTGTTTGGAATCCTCTGCGCCACAGGCACTCGTGTTAGACTCTGCCAGCAGCTGTACAGACATGCACGGCTTTGACACAAAGTACCTTTGACCAAAATGACTCAAATGCACATTTGACATGTGGCCACCAAAGTGACACATCCACACCGTGGCCTCTTGGAAACTCTTGCTGTTCAGGAATGCTCAAAGAGCACCAAGATCATAAATGATATTTTGTGTCTTTGGTTACTGATCTGTTCCTTTCCCCCCCCCCCCATGCATTCTGCGGACTTGAACCACAGGGGTTCCTGATTTTAAGATTTTTTAAGATTCAAAAACTTTGACAAGAAGAAATGGCCTGTCAAGTTCAACGAAAAACGTAACAGGCCACAGCCACCGGCAGACATGACCGCAATCCTTCACCTCATAAATCAGCAATGAAATGGTCCTGCCCAGGTTTATGAGCAAGAAATACATAATAATCTTTCTTCTAGCAAGAAAATCACCTGCCAGGCTCCCTGTATTTGTATAGTTAGTAACAAAAGTTCCTTTTTGAAGTGAGCCTTCAGATTTTAAATGTTAGAAAAGCAGTTTCTGTTTATTTATAGGCTTTACCAGAGAGTCAATTGAATGAGGATAAATAATAGAAAACACTCATCAGGGAAAACATAGGCTTTTCTTCCTCATATGACCCTTCAATTCTTTTCTCCTTTGATACAGGCTCTTCATTATTTTTACACAGGAGGCTATATTAAATGAAAACAATACTGTAGTTGTTTTAATATTTAATTCAGTGCTTTTTTTCTCCTCCAAAAATGTGTGATGGCCCAAATCAAACGATTTCTTAGCCTTTCATCCTCCAGCTTTAAGGACCTGTTTCCTCACTGCCTCTTCCAATACTAAATAACAGGAAAATTTACAGCTACAGATGAGCACTGACTTGAAAGGATCCCTGCTCCTGAGGCATCACCAGATCTCAAAAATCAGGTTAGAACCACTCATTCAGAGGCACAGAAATGCTGCCTGATTTAAAAGCTGCTGGGAGAGCACCACCATCTCCTTGGCTTTTACCTTTCTCACAGCAGCTTTTCTCTATGGCAACTCCTTCTGTCAGACATAAAATCTGAACCCCCTGTCACATTGCTGCAGTCAGGGCACAGATAATGCCCTCCCCAGCTCAGCAGGTTTCACTGAAGCTGTCACCATCTTGCTGCACCCAAAAACTGAATTTCAATATGCTTTTTTTTTTTTTTTGTCAGCATGCATCTCCTATTTTAGAGGTTGTTTTTTCCACTTTTATATTTAGATAAGCCAAGAAAGTGTTTGGTGATTCAAGGCACATAAAACCTTACAATATAAATACCAATATAAAAGAACCATTTTATCCAAGATATTGATAAGAAACATCTAGAATACAGAACTACATGTGGTCTTTTTGGAACTGAACAAATAAGAGACCCAATAGCAACTTTTATCTTAATGTTGCGAAGTGATCAAAAAAACTTTGGGATGAAGGCTCTGAAAATATGAAGTACAAATTTAAAGAAATTTATGTGCAGGCTTTTGCCAGAAGACAAAAACGTAAGTTTTCAATTAAGCAATTTAAGATGCTCTTTTAGTTTTAAAAAATGCACTGTGTGAGAATAGAAAATTCTTTTAAAGAGCTGACAAATTTGAGAGACAAAATAACATTCTTCATAATGAAAACACATATTTTACATTAAAGTAAATTAAATTTTATAAGCAGAACAGTTAAGGGTTTTCAATAAAATTGAAATTCAATATTATCCTACCTAAGACTACCTTTAAGGACAGAAATATTCTTCCACAGTGGGAATTTCAAATAAAGCATCACTGCTTCTGAAAGACTCTAAAATACAAATTTCCACTATTTGTGCCCTGAAGAAATCTCTGAGAGTATTTCTCCTGCCAATCCCATTATATAAAGCCTCATATAAATGAATTAAGAGTCCAGTGATCCTTTTTATTGACATTAGTAGTTGTTGTAGATGCTGTTATGTACTGCATGACATTATAACTTGTGCACTTCAAGTCACCTAATAATATTAGCTAACACAGGTGCAGAGTGCTGCTGAGGCAGATGTTTTAGTCACCATTTAGTCAGATCTAAAATAATTTAAAATTAGTTTTTCAAAATAATCCAAAGAAGGGAGAAACTGTGCTGTCCTCACACAGACACAGGCGACAGTAATGCCACACACATGGGCAATCTCTGGGAAATCTTTTCCCTCCCTGTTCTGCACGTGGTTCCTTGCACCCAAAAAAATACACAAATAAATAGGCTTCTTCCATCTTGCAGGATTTTTTATGCTGCTTATGGTAGGTTTGAGAGCTAAAATACTGTTTAATTTGTGAAAAGGAACTGGTATACCCTGACATAATTTCTAGACAGCATAAACCAGCATGGGTTTCCCAGGGTGCAGCAGCTGTCCAAAATGTCCCATTTACCCAGAGCTGCCCAGACCCGGCCGTGTTACACTGCACTGCCAGAGCTCAGCACAAACTCGGGGCTCATTTAAGAAAGCTCCGTGGCAACGTGGTCAAAGCTGAAGAGGAAGGGCCCTCACAGAAGAGTGGGTGTCTTATCTGAATACATAATTTGTATCGTCTTTATAGATAAAGGTTAAGGAAAAGACTTAGGATCATCAACTCCAACCGTGAGCCCAGCGCCAGCACAGTGTTCACCATCACACCGTGTCCTCAAGTGCCATCTCCGAGGGGTTTTTAACATTTCCGGGGATGGTGCCTACCCACTTCGCCGGGCAGCCTATTCCTGTGCCTAATAACCTTTCCCATGAAAACAATTTCCTAATACCCAACCTAAACCTCCCCTGACGCAACTCGGGGCCGTTTCCCCTCGTCCTGTCAGCTTTGCCCCGAGCCGCCGCAGCGGAGCGGCGCCAGCGCCGTGTCAGGCAGGCCGCGCTGGGAGGCGCCGGGCGCCCCAACACCGAGACCGGGCCTTGCCGGGCCGGGCCGTGTCAGGCGGCGCCGGGCCCGGGCAGGAACGGGGAACCCCGCCGGGCACGGTGAGCTGTCCGCGGGGCGGTGCTGCTGCCGGCCCGCCCTGGACAGCTCCCGGGGCCGCGGCCCCGCGCCGGTGCCCGCGGAGCGGGGCGGAGCTGGGCCCGCGCCGCCACCGCCCCCCGCCCGCGGCTCGCGCCCCGCCGGTGCCTCACCTTCCGCCGCCGCCGTGCGCGCGTCCATCGCTGCCGGGCGGCCGCCACGGGGCACAAAAGGAGCCGCCGCCGCCGCCAACGCCGCCGCCGCGTTGCCGGCCGGGCGGGTGGGGCGGTGACCCCGCGGGCGGGGCCGCCCCGCTCCCGCCCCGCTCCCGCCCCGGTCCCGCCCGGCCGGGAGGGCGCCGGAAGTCGCCGGAAGCCGCCGGAAGCGCCTCCGCTTCCGCCATGGCGCCCGCGTCCCGCTCCCGCTCCCCGCCCGCCGCCAGCTCCGAGCGCCGCGGCCGCCGCAGCCGGTCTCGCTCCCGCTCCCGCTCCCGGTCCCGCGAGCGCAATGGCCCGAGGCGCCTGAGCCACCGGCGGAGCCGCAGCCGCTCCCGCAGCCCCGGCGCGCCGCGCTCCTCCGCGCACCACGGGCACCACCACCACGGCAAATGGCCCGAGTACTACGAGAAGGAGAAGGAGGAGATCCTGCGGCAGAGGTGAGCGCGGGTCGGGCCTGCCCTGCCGGGCCCCGCTCCCGGGATGGGCGGGTGCCGCTGGGCCTGGTTCCCGACGGCCCCGTCACGGGTCTCGGCCCCGTCACGGGCTCTCGGTGCGCTCCCCGCAGGCAGGGCCGCCCGGGGGGACGGGACGGAGCTCGGCTGGAAGGGGGTAACAGCTGCTGCCGCCGGTCCTCTGCAGTGTGCGGAGCTCTGCTGCCAGACTGCCCTTGCTCCGAGTTGTTTCTTATCCTTCCTGCAGCTGATTCAGGCATTAGAAACACTGACGTGTAGGACTGAAAATATTTGTGTACTGGGTGTTCCAAACTAGGTGTCAGTGACGGCGTTTTCCTTTACAGGAGACTCAATGAGAGAGAGAGAATTGGAGAACTGGGGGCACCTGAAGTCTGGGGGCTGTCACCAAAAGTTCCTGACCCAGAGTAAGACATATTCTTTCTTCATGTTTTTTATAATATTAATTACATATCAGTTCAGTTTATAAAAATGCTTTATCCCTGCATTAGTCATGGTGTCACAATACTTATTGTACCAGTTCCTTTCTGAAGCAGCATAATGAGATTAGTATTTTTTCAACCAATAATACCAATTATGCAATATGTGATTTATTGTAGATCAGGTGACTGTTGTGTTGTGGTTCTGACAGCAGTTCCCAGGCTAAATTAGCTCTTTAATATTTTACTCCCTTGCAAGGATTGACTCAAAATGTCTTTGGTTTTATGTACTTTGATCTTGAGTACAGCAAAACAGATTTTAAGTAGGAAACTGTTATTTTATTCAGTTCTGATGAGCACACACCGGTAGAAGATGAAGAGGCAAAATCTAAGAGTAGCTCTTCAGATTCCAGCTCAGAAGGTATTTTGTTTGGCTTGCACAGCTTTTTTGAAAATGGGAAGCTACTGTGGTTTAGAATCTGCTGCTGCTGCTTGCAGGAGGTTCCCTGGCTTAGATGGGTGGAAGTGGCTGGGGCGGGCTCCAGCTCAAAGGAGAGCATTGCTTGGGGAAGATTAGGGAATATATATGGAACTAGATGCTCTTTGTTCTCTAATGTTATGTTTGAAAACATTCCAGAGGAAAAGAAGAAAAAAAAGAAGAAAAAACAAAAGAAGAAACGTAAAGCATCCAAAAGAAAGCGCAGGAAACATTCTGAGGACAGCGACAGTGACTCAGAGTCTGAGCAGAACTCCAGTGGTAAGACAAGAGGGTTTCAGCTTGCAGTCTGGCCTGGGGAAGTGGGATTTCTGACTTTAGCAGCCACTGGGCCTCTCATGCCAGAGATGTGTTTGATATGTTCTCATATGACCTGTACTGCAGGGAGCTTTCTGCTAATGCTTTCCCAGTGTAAACAAGTCCCATCAGGGGTGTACTGGGGCATTCTGGTGGAGGCAGTCAGTGCTGGGAATGGGTTCAGGGTTAGGGTAGTGCTTAGGTTAATTGGTAGAGGTAGTGGTTAGTGTAATTCTTAGCAGTAGGGTTAGGGGAGTGGTTAGGCTTAACTTTGAGAGAGTAAAAGAGCCTATGGCTCCAGGATCACTGGGACTGGAAAAGGCATGCCAAGGCAATCCCAGCAAGGCCCCAGCATTGCTGTTCCTACATCTTTCTGACCTGGAAAACCCATCTTACTGAGTTTGGGTTAGGGCTAGGGCTTAGGGTTAGGGTTGAGAGAGTCAAAGAGCTCACAGCTCCATGAACACTGGGGCTGTAAAAGGCATGACATGTTATTCACAGGGCAGTAAGCCACTTAGTTAAAACTAATAATTTATTTTTGATAATACATACACTTTTTTTTTTATTCAGATGAAGATAAAAAGAAAAGCAAGAAGAGGAAAAAGAAGAACAAAAAGTAAGTGTCATGGTTGCTGTGTCATTTTGGCTTCTGTTGGCTGGAGGGCAGCTCAGTTTTCTTTGCAGGCCCTGAGGGAGCCTGAGGACCTTGGGTAATTTGCAAGAGCAGGCAAATAATATTAATTTGATGGATTTTATTTAAATCTACACAATTGTGCAGCACAAGCAACTTCCTGTAGAGCTCCTTTCTAACACTCTATGAAAGTCAAAACAGAACATATATATTGTCTTGGCTTTGCTGTAAAGTGTTTTGTATGAAACAGCAGGCAGCCATTCTTCCTATAGGTGGAAGTTGTCTTGAGAAACTAATTATTTGAGTATGATTCCAAGCACCTTCTTTAATCTTAAATTTTGATAAATAGCATGTCTGTCTGGCTTTATCGCAGGAAGAAGTATAAGAAAAAGAAAGCTAAGAAGAGCAGGAAGGAATCCAGTGATTCAAGCAGCGAAGATTCCGATGATGAAATGCTTCAAGGGGATGATCTCTGGATAGAGAGGTCAAGTAGGTTCACCTCACTTCAAACTTGGGTGGAAACTTCTTGGTGTCGTTTTTGTGAATTCCTTGTTAGGTGTTGCTGACCTGTGTAACCCTTCTGATAACAAAGAACAATGGACACAAGAATAATCTTCCTCATTATTTGATTGTTGCAGAAAATACTGAAGCTGACAGTTTGATTGGACCAGAGGCTCCCAAAACTCACGCATCTCAGGATGATAGGCCTTTGAAGTGAGTAGCCAGTTCTAATGGTACTTTGATCAAATCAAGTAAATCAGGTGTGAAAGTTATTATTCAAAACGGCTGTTGCAACAATAATGCATGCAGGAGTAGCCAGTTCTAATGGTACTTTGATTAAATCAAGTGAATCAAGTGTGAAAGTTACTGTTAAAAAGGGCTGTTGCAACAATAATGCATGCAGAGGGAAAAATGCTGTGTCAGAAACTCACAGACAGAAGTTCTAATGGTGCTAGGCTTTCCCCTGGCTTGAATTTGGGTAGAAGAGTCTGGTTTATGCTTTTTAGCCTTGATTCCTAGAAAAATCAATTGTAAGTGCCTTTATTCTAAAGATCTGCAGTATTGTGACTTCGTAGTGTCATCAGAATGAACTCAGCTGATAATGTAAGATGTTGTTGCTAGTGTTGCCATAAGGAAGAAAGAGGCCAACATGTGGGACAAAATAAGAAGGTGTTTAAAAATGCAGCTGTATATAGTAGTGAGGAGGGAAGTTGGATGTTTAGCTCAGGCTCTCTCTATCTGAAGCTACTGACATCACCACTTTTGTTTTTTAGCTATGGCCATGCCCTCCTGCCCGGGGAAGGGGCAGCCATGGCAGAGTACGTCAAAGCAGGGAAGCGCATTCCCCGCAGAGGCGAAATCGGCCTGACCAGTGAGGAGATCGCGTCGTTTGAGAGCTCTGGTTATGTCATGAGTGGCAGCAGGTATGGCTTTGATGATGGCAGTGGTTCAGTGGAATTTTCAAGAGCTGCTTTCTCTGCTGGCTGAACAGAAGACTGCTTCAAAGCTCTACTTGCAAGCATGGAGGAGGAGGTGCTCTGCTTGCAATAATCTACACTAAGCTCCCCATTGCTAGGGATGGGTAGTGAGTTTTTCAAGGACACTTTGTCCTCAAGAGCAGTTCTTCACAGGCAATACTCTTCTAATTATTTCACATGAAGAGGTGCTTGTGTCAGATGGCTCAAAGGTGCTCTGTTTGGACAGCCCTGGGGATGTGCTGGCCCTTTGTCTCCCACAGGAGACAAATCAATGTGTGAGAGGTTGGCTGCACTTTTTTCTCTATGACCAGCAGGAATCTCACTTAAATTTTGGTGAGCCAGCAGCTGACACCCTGGGGGTAGGGGAGGCTTCTGGCTGACTGCCTGAGAACAGACATCCCCAGAAATCAGTTCCTTGCTCTGCCACACTCCTTCCTGGGAAGGTTAGTGTGCACTTTGGATTATCTAGTTTTTAGATATCTGCCAGGTTTTTTTTTGCCAGTTGGCAGGGTAAGCACAAAAAATTCAGATACCAACTTCAAGGACTAAGTATAATTTGCTACAGTGCAAAACTGCAAAGAATTACAAAGGATAAACTAAGTAATGCACCTAACCATTACTGCAAAAGATTGCCTAGAGTGATTAAAAAAGATACATCACCAGTTACCCTATACTTTACCATCATCAAGATCTGCACATGAGCTGGGAGCCCCAGTCACAGCAAAGGATTGGAGAAGCATTCCTGGGAATTCCTACATGGTGTGTCCACCTGTAGGCAAGGCTTCCATCTTCACTGTGGAAGGGCTCAGCTTTTAGACTGTAGAATAAACAAGCTTACACGACTTCTAGTGCAGGAACATTTGGTTTCATCGTCCTCTTGTGCTCCACCCAAAGCCTGGGCAGGGCTTGAGGAGGAACCAAGGGAGGTGGCATTGATCATATACCTTCAAACAAGGCCAGATGCCTGATTTCATGCCTTTGTCTGGCTCTAAATGCAGAAAGACAAGTATATTTTTACCACTACATGTTTCACTAATGATCATGGATATTACCTTAGTGAGTGGATACAAATATAACATTTTGTTGGAAGGTTCATCTAGAGGCCAACTTTGGCTCAGGGGCTGTTGTTCAGGCCTTGGTACTTCAGTACCTTTATTTAAAGCCCCTGAAGACATTGAGGGCAGTTGATGGCTGGAAGCTGTGCCAGGGCACTGCTGATGTACCCCTGTCCCCCCACAGGCACCGGCGCATGGAGGCTGTGCGGCTGCGCAAGGAGAACCAGATCTACAGCGCAGACGAAAAGAGAGCTCTGGCATCCTTCAACCAGGAGGAGAGGAGGAAACGAGAGAATAAGATCCTTGCAAGCTTTCGAGAGATGGTCTACAGAAAGACTAAAGGCAAAGAGGAGAAATAATGCTTCATGTGAGCTGTACACCATAGCTTGCACTGTGTGGCAGCTAGTGCAGTCCAGCTGTGATTTGAAGAAAGCTGCAGGTGCTGCAGCACCTTTCACCCAACAGGCCCAAGCTCAGGAGTGGATTACTTGTGTCAAGGAAACAGAGTTATTTTCATCAGATTTTCTTGGATGGTTTGTTTACCATCTACAAGGAATCCCTGCAAAGAGAAAGGCTGCAAGGCAGGAACAGGTGGGGAAGATTAGAGGTGTCAGTGTTCTGCACTCGCTTTGAACCGACAAGCCAAAGGATCCCATGGGAAGGTTTTGTTACCTGAAGTCAATAAGTGTGATTTTTTTATTCAATTTATTTTTATTAATCATAGGATCATTTAGCTTGGGAAAGACCTTTAACAAGCTACTAGCACCGGTAGCAAAAATGAAGGAACTCCTGAGTTCCTGTTTTAAGATCCAGGACAGTCCACTATTTTTTCACAAGTCTTTTAAATTTAGGTTTTTCCTCAAAACAGTTGAGTTTGGTTTGTGATTCAAACCAGACATGTACATATTTGTAAATTTCATTTGTAATTTAATACAGATGTGCTTCAGTTACTTTAGAGCAAGCAGATGGCAACTGAGGTGTAAAGCAGCAGTAGTAGGAGGGTCTGATATTCAATCACTGAAACACATGGAGAAGAACTGAGTTGCTTGCTTCTTTTTCTCCTATGTTATACATAGGCATCAGTGCAGTGGGGTGCAGTGATTGGAACCCCTGGATGTACACAGGTGGGAACAAGGATGTATCTTTCAATTTATTTGAAATGTTTTCATTTATGGAAGTGTTCTAGATTAAACCCTTGTTTTAACTCCTGTAGTATTTTACTTTGGTCTGTTTCAGCAGTATTACATGGCTTGCTTTAAACTCTGTGCTTGGAGGCTTTGCTCAGGCAGTGCTTATGTGGTGGTTATCTTTGATTCAATTGCATATTTCCAAACATCTCTCCTAGAACTTCTTTTTCTCAAATGTTTTTAAAACAAAATGGTTTTGAGAGATGGGTTGTTTCTTTTCTGTTCTCCTAATTTATTTTTTTTCCTCTAAGTCTAGCAACAGAGATGTCTTGTATATTTATATGAGGAAAATAAAAGTCCTAAAGTCCTATAATGTTTTCCCTGGAGTTCCATAAACCTGGCAATCACAAACAGCAAATCCTGCCCAGCTGCCTCTTCCTATTCACACTCTGGAGCCTGGTTCCATCCTGCTGTCCCCACCTGCCAGGGACTGTCACCCACAGCCAGCTGCCATGGCAGGGCATAGATGATTTTGCACAAGTTCAATGCTTCTTATCTATTCACAAAGTAGAAATACTGCTAAGGAAGAGCTTTTTTTTTTCCATCATGTTTATTTGGTTCTCCACAAGAGAGGACTGGTAATGGTGAATTGGAGCTGCTCATCGGGAAGCAAGTCTTTCTGCACACAGTACTTTATTTTCAATTATGTCATGAAGCCACTTTTCTCTAAACTCACACTGTTCTGGCCTGGAGAAGGGAATTAAAAAAAGGTAGATTGTAAGCATAATAGTGAATCCAGGTTTGGCCAGGTGAGAGCTGGCCTCTATCCACCATGTAAGGCTATCTGCTGCAATAAAAACCAGGCAAAGCAGGACAAATTTCTGAGAATGCAGATGCCCACAGGGTGGCTGTTCATGCCTCTGGGGGTGAGGCTAGTGATAAGCAGGGTCATTTCATGGAGCAAGATTTTGACAGTTTCCACTCCTCTGCTATTATTGCAAACTTATTTACATCGAGCTCCCTGTTTGGTTTTGGAATGGAAAAGCTTGCTAAAACAGAAGAGTAATAACATTTACCTCCGAATCAGCCTGCTGGACTCCAGTCTGTAGAACACCTCCACAGGTGCAGTCTGCAACACAGCAGAGACAGGGCAGAGGCCAGGTGCAGCCCCTCAAAATGCAGACATTGTAATTAAGTGAGAGCTACTGTTTACTTTAAAAATAACCTGGATATTTGGGTGGGGCAGAAGGGAAGATGCTGCTCAGGGACTGGCTGGACATTGGTTGGTGAGTGGTTAGTAATTGTTTTCATTTGCACCACTGGTCTTTCATAGTGCTTTTTTCTCTGTTTTTGTTTTCCCAATTTGTTACTATTATTCTATTTATTTTACACTTAAAATTCTCTCCCCCATCCCATGGCGGTGGGGAAGGAGTAAGCAAGCAGCTCTGATGCTTAGTTGCCATCTGGGGTTAAACCACAGAATATTATTTGTTAAGTAGAAACACTAAGGTTCAGTATGACTTAAGCCTGGAGGTAAGCAGTCTACTCAGTGCAATTTATTTCATTTTTTTCTCTTGATTTGCAAGAGTTCATTTTACAGGTGCAAAATTCAGGCTGATCAGGAAAGGGATTCTGAGACACCTTGAAGAGTGAAGTGCCACTCCCTCTCTATAGAGCCCTCGTTCTGTAACTCACCTCTACTCAGCCCTTCTTACAACTGCCCAGAGCACTTGTTGCTTGGAAAGGGAAGATGGTAAGAGCAGGAAGGCCGATGTAGGATCCTGCCAGATTCTGTTTGCCAAGTTCTGTCAGTCAATGATTTGGGAACTAACCCAGCCTCCTGCTCTGTGCCTTGCTCCTCTTGCCAACCAATGCCATGTTTCTATTGGGCCACGTGTAAATCTCCTGCCATTGTTCTGGCAACGTCCAGGCCTTGTCAGCATCTTCACAAGAGCTGCTGGCTCCTCGCCAGCCTCTCCCCTGTCCTGGCACTTCCCTGCCTCAGGAATGCCCCTGTACTCTTGTCCCTTAAAGGACTAGTGCATCCCCACCATTGCTGAGTACTTACGTCAGGTTTGAGTTTGGAGATCACTATAACGAAGTAGACACTCGCTGTTGCTCGTGGGATGGGTTTTCTGCGTGTTGGGAGGCCCCAGCAAGCTCTGTAATGGTACCTCTTGCTGTCCTTCAGTTCTTCTTCCTCGAGAAATTCTGAGTGGTGAAGCCAGCTTTCATGAATGTCCCATGTCTGTTGAACAAACACATCACACTAAGACTCCCTATGTCGAGTAGAGCTGACTTGTGTGTGGTGCTAAAAAGGAACAGAGGTGCTTTGCTTTTATTTTTCATACTTCTTAACAGTGAGAAAGTGTGGCCTTCCTGAGTGGATGGAATTGTGACTCACAGAAATTAGTTCTTCAATTTGCTGCTGTCCTATCTCCACTGTGAAGTTCTTAGCTGTAGTCCACGGGATATTTTTGATGACATGCTTGCTTTCTGAAACAGATAAAATGCTAACAAATCCTCCTGAAAAGATTCCAGCACTTTCTAGTAGAGCAAACACAATACCTTTCTCTTTTTCCTCGTCCTCTGGGAGCCATTCCTCTGTGCTGCTGCTCTCATCTTCCGGGGGGATGTGATCTTTTTGCTCACTGCCTTCCTTTTCCTCCTCCATTGGTTTCACCTTTAGAGAGATAAACGCGCAAACATGGAGCGAGCGCTGCTCTGAGAGCTGCAGGCCCCGTCTGAGGCAGCAGCGGGCAGTCCCTCACCGCGGGCAGTCCCTCACGGCCCCTGTTCGTACCCCGGCCCCGCTCACCCCGCTTGGCACTCCCGGGCCGGCGGCTGCTTCTCCCCCGCTTCCCCGGCCAGGCCGGGGGTCCCCAGGCGCGGCGGGGGCCGGGCCCCGGGGCGCTGCGGTCCCGGGGTGGGTGTGGGAGCCCGGGGAGCGGAGCCCGGGCCCGGCGCTGTCCCCGCCGCTGAGCGCGGCCCCGCGGGCACGGGCGGCGCGCGGTCACCATGGCGAGGCCGGGCCTGCCCCGCGGAAACCGCCCGGAGCCGCTGTCCCCGGGGAGGAAGGGCGGTGTGAGCAAGAAAACAGCTCTGGGATCCCGGCAGGTTCTCTGTATTTTTGCCACTCTGGGCGATTCGGGAGCTAAAGCAGCCTCCAGTCTGTGCTCTGTCCAGCCCGGTGCGATGAAGCGCTACAGGCTCTGAACAGCAGCGCTGGTAGCACAGAGCCAGAGCCCCTCAGAGGGAAAGGATCACCGGGACTGTGCGGGAGAAACCAGAAATGTTTTAGCAGACCACAGCAGATCACTGCATTCCCAGCTGCTCCTCTTCCAGAATGACAAGAGGCCGTGGGGCAGGGGGTAGGAGCAGAGATTGCCCTGCAGCCCGTGTTACCAGACCACAGTGAGCTGTGTCCCGGCAGGTCCATGAGGGAGCAGAGATCTGCCTGCACCCCAGGAACGAGCCACGCTGGAGCAGGGGGATGTACCCAGGCTGTGACCCCAAGGAAGCCCACACTGGAGCAGGGGGATGTACCCAGGCTGGGAAGCCCCGAAAGCTCATGCTGGACCAGAGGGACGTACCCAGGCTGTGACCCCAAGGAAAGCTCATGCTGGAGCAGGTGGATGTACCCAGGCTGTCATGCCCTGGAAGCCCATGCTGGAGCAGGGGGATGTACCCAGGCTGTGACCCCCTGGAAGCTCATGCTGGAGCAGAGGGATGTCCCCAAGCTGTGACCCCCTGGAAGCTCATGCTGGAGCAGGCTCTGGCAGGACCCTTGTGCCCATGGAGAGAGGAGCCCACTGGAGCAGGTTTGCTGGCAGGAAATGTGACCCTGCTGCAGCAGCTGGTTACTGAAGGACTGCACGTTATGGGACTGTGTGGGACCTGTGCTGGAGCAGTTCATGAAGAACTGCAACCCATGGGAAGCACTCACACTGGAGAAGTTAGGGAAGGAGTCTCTCATGGGAAGGACCCCATGCTGGAGCAGGGGAAGAGTGTGAGGAGTTCTCGCCAGAGGAGGAAAGAGCAACAGAGACATGGGATGACATTGACCACAACCCTCAGTCCCCATCACCCTGTGCAGCTCAGCAGGGAGGAGGGAGAAATATCATGAGTGAGACTGAAACCAGGAAGAAGGGGGGAGTGGGGGGAAGGTGTTCTATGATTTGTTTTAACTTCTCATTATCCCGCTGTTATCTGACAATTCATTAAATGAATTTCTCTAAGTCAAGTCTCATTTGCCTGTGACAGTAACTGATGAATGGTCTCTCTCTCTCCTTGTCTCAACTCACAAGCCTTTCAATGTATTTTCTCTCCCCTGTCCAGCTGAGGACAGGAGTGACAGAGTGGCTTTGGTGAGCACCTGGTGTCCAGCAAAGGTCACCCCACCACAGTAACACAAATACAAGGGCTGAACACATGTATAGCTTTATTTAACAATTAAATCATTTTCTATAGATAGATGAATTTTTCAAAGTGTTGACACTTTAGTTTATGTTCTCCAGACCCTGAAAAACAAAAAATAACAGCTATATTTATGTCATTCTTGCCACTAATGTGCAATAGGGCATATCTGAAAATTCAGATTTTCAAACTATATTTAATTACTCAGATCTTAATTAGAACAAAATGAAAATGCACATCCCCAGAGGCAGGCCAGCTGCAGGCACCGAGTGAGATCTGACAAGAGGACCGGTGCCCACCTCAGCGGCCATGCCAGAGCTCGGGGATGGGGGAGCAGCCCCAGGGCCCCGCTCCCCCCGCGGTACCTGCCCAGCGCCCCAGACCTGCCTTGGACACGTAGTGCTTGTTGACACCCGACAGCCGCCGGTCCCTTTCCAGCAGCGTCCACTCGTAGGGATAGCGGGCGATCCTCTTCTCCTGCAGGTACAGAACCGCCCGTTGAGGGTCGGGCAGGGGCTCCCGAGGAAGGCGGGGTAAGGGATCCCACAGGGATGCAGGGACTGGGGGATCAGGGCGGCCCCGGTGGGGAAGCGGAGCCCCAGGGTCCCGGATCCCGGGACGTGCCGCCCCGCCCCGCGCTGACCTTGCCGCCGTTACACAAGCGGTGCATGAAGATGGTGGCCATGCCGGGGATGGTGAGGCAGACGCCCATGATGGCCATACCGGGCAGGATCTCGTACCACATCCCGCCGGTGGTGGTGTCGGTGTCGGTGCCGCTGCCCCTCGCCGAGTGCCGGAGCACTCCCGGCCTGCCCCGCGCCCTTCCCGGCCTGCCCCGCGCCCCCTCACACCCTAGCGGGCCCGAGCGGACAGCGGGAGCGACGGCGCTGCCGGGGAGCAGTCCCTGGCAATAAATGAGGTCGTGTTTGTGTTCCGGCTCGCCCGATACCGCTCTCGGTCCCAGTCGCGGGCGGCTGACCCCGCCGGTACTAGCGGCGGCGGGCGCGGTGCACGCTGGGAGTGGTAGTCCGGCGAAGGCAGCGGCGCCTTTAAGGCGCAGTCTCGCGAGAGGCGGCGGTGACTGGGCGCGCGGGGCGCAGCCCGGGCCGGAGTCGGGATCGGGATCGGGATGAAGGAGGACAAGGAGAATGCCAGGCCCAAGGAGCGGCGCGGGGCCTCCGCCGGGCCGGGCGTGCTGCTGCCCGCCGGACCGGGCTCGGGCCCCGCCGCCGGCACGGACGGCAGAGCCGGCACCGCCGAGCTCGATCGCCTGGAGCGGCCCAAGGACAAGAAGGAGACGCTCAGCAAGGTGGGGCCTGCGCGCTGCCGGGAACGGCGCCCTCCCCGGTAACGGGGCTCACCCTCTGTAACGGGCCCCTCCTCCCTCTGTAACGGGACCTTGCCCCGCTAACGGGCCGCTTGCGGGGCCCTCCTGGGACGGGACGTGTCGGGGGAGGCGCGGTAATGACTCGTCCCGGGCGCTGCCGCCGCCCTGAGCGCCGCTCCTGCCGTGCCGCAGGTGGTGATCCGCCGGCTGCCGCCCAGCCTGACGAAGGAGCAGCTGGAGGAGCACCTGCAGCCTCTGCCCGAGCACGACTACTTCGAGTTCTTCGCCAACGACTCCAGGTACGGCCGCCTGCCCGGTCCGGGCGCTCCCGGGAGCCGCCGCTACCGCCAACCGGGCCCCAGTGGCGCCGCCGCCTCGTCAGCGCAGCGCTCTCGGTTTGTGTCTCTGCAGCTTGTACCCGCACATGTTCTCCAGAGCCTACATCAACTTCAAGAACCAGGAAGACATCGTCCTCTTCAGGGATCGCTTCGACGGCTACGTTTTTGTCGATCACAAAGGTAAGTGAACGGCTCTCGATGGATGCTGCTGCTTCCCTGCTGTCTGTGCTGTCTGCTGGCTGAGCTTTGGAGGGGTGGGTGTGAGCAGCCACGTCGGACTTGTTTGGGTTTAGTGCCTCAAAACCAGTTCCAATACCTCTAGAAATACATACATACACAGATCTGATAACATCTAAGTCCTTTAAATGAGCTGGTTTGCAGTGTAACAGCACACTGTGTTTGCCATACCCAGCTGCATTCGTGCAGCCATAAATCTTCTTGTCAGAAGATAAAGTTTTAAAGCCTGCTTGTAATGTGTTGCATTGTACTATACTTTGTCAAAAAATGAGATTTGCCTCAGTTGTATTCACTTAAAATATTCTTTATTGCACAATGAATGCAGAGGCTGTAGGATGAGGCCATTACATGGTGTGGTGCTGCTGAGGTGTGGAACTGACAGTCATGGGCAATCTTAAATCTAGTATGTCCTTGTCAGCCTGTGTTTGCTGGTTTATTAGTATAGTGACAGTGTTAAGGTAACGAATTCTGCTCTCTGTAGAGTGGTTTATTTTTTTATTAAATGGTTTTCTAAATACAATGATGTTTTTATGCTGTGTAAGTAGTCTCTTCTAGTATTGCATATTTCTTGTGAGACTTACCTTTCTGCTTTAGATATGGACAATATAATCGAATTTATATCTGTTTCATCTTTATTTTAATGTATTTTTTTCTCTCAACAGGTCAGGAATATGCTGCCATAGTTGAGTTTGCACCTTTCCAAAAAGCTGCAAAAAAGAAGAGCAAGAAAAAGGATGCCAAAACTGGAACTATTGAAGATGGTATAACAGCAAGCTAGTTTGTTTTTGCATGTGTAGACTTGAAACTCTTAGCAGTAATTTAAATGTAATGTTTTTACTGTGACACTATAGTTCAACCAATAGATGTTTGCTTAATATATGTGAAGTTTATGAGCACTGCTTTGTCAGCTAGAAATCCATTAAATATGATTGTCCCAGACAAACATAATACAGCAGCTCATTTGAGCTGCTGACTTATGAAAAGGTGGCATATAAACAGCCCAGCTGAAGTAAATGTAACTGAGCAGTGCATCATGTAAATACTTTTCATGCTACAGTATCTCTTCTTTTTTTCCCTCCCCTTTTTTCCCTTCTCTTCTGTGTAGATCCAGAATACAAGAAGTTTTTGGAAAGTTACAGTGCAGATGATGAAAAATTAACCTCCACTCCTGAAACTTTGTTGGAGGAAATAGAGGCAAGAAACAAAGAGCTAATAGGTATGGAAATCTGAGTACCATAGTTACATTTTCCTAGATCACAAAGAAACAAATATGTTTTGTAATTTGAACCTCAGCCTGGAGGAGACTGAATTCTTTTGTGTGCCTGCTTACTATTTGTTAAACATTTAGGCTAATATTATTGTGTATTTTGTTTTGTTCCCATGCTATAAATTCTTCTGTAGGCTTAGGTTTTAGATGACAAAGTTCCTTCCTGTTGCAGATGTTTGTTAGCCAGAGCAGGCTGTGGAGGGGCTGCATTTCAGTGAGATGCAGTGGTGTTTAATGCACAGTGCTGTGATCAGTGGTGTTCCATGCAGACACAAGTTGAGATAGTGTGGTTGGGTAAAATACCACCAAAAAGTGACCAGGTTGCTCTTTTTAAGTATCTTACAGGGATCTCTTTAAAAATGGGAGTGTCTGAAAAAGCCTAATGCAGACTGAATGAAGAGATAGATGTAAGGGATATCCTAACAATATCCTAAAGAAATTTATAGAATCCTAATAGTTGCCACTGTTTGGAGATAGGTTTGGAATATTTGTGTCACTGCTGTGTTGCTGTATATGAGAGAAGGGGAATGTAAATGTCAGGCAGGGGAATGTGTAAGGCTGCTTCACTTTATATAGGGCTCTGTTGTAGGTATTGCAGTATTGGATAAGGCAAGATATTTATATTTGTTTTATCTGTTCTCCAGCTAAAAAGACTACTCCTTTATTGAACTTCTTGAAAAATAAACAGGTAAGACTTCCAGAATTTTCTTGTTTGCCAGTACAATTTGCTCATTGTATATTGATACATTTCTGCCCTTCCTTTTGAAGAAGGCGCTTTTGACCCAAACTGTCAACTTCTGGTTCATATATTTTAAAGGAGTAGAGTGTTGGAATGGTGGTGCTTTGTGTACATTCTGGTCACAGCAAAACACCTCTTTTTGCACTGACAAAACAGATTCCATTGTAGTGCTTCCATTTTTAGTGCAATATGGCTGAGGTCCTTGTAGATGATCTTTCTCCTAGCACATAATGTTATTTGATCTTCTAGTAATGGAGAAACTCAGAGGTGGGGCAGATTTAATTAAAATTTTAATGATAAAGGCTGAGCCTAGTGATGTATTTGAGTTTTTTAAGACAGTACAAATTAAGGCTTATGAGTAAAAAAAAATACTGCTGCAACATGTTCAGGTTCACAACAACAGACATGACAGGACTTTTTTTTTCTTTTATAATGGAGGCAGCATTGAGTGAGTTGTTTGATGGCTTAAAGAGATGTTGTATGCTGTGGAGAGACACTTTCTCTTTGTTTTTACATACACAGAGACTGAGAGAAGAAAAAAGAGAGGAGAGAAGGAGGAGAGAATTAGAAAGAAAAAGACAAAGAGAAGAAGAAAGAAGAAAATGGAAAGAAGAGGAGAGAAGGAAGAGAAAAGAAGCAGAAAAATTGAAGAAAGTAGACAGATGCCCAGAAAAAGAAAGAGACAGATCAAAAGAAGAACCAAAGATTAAGGTCTAGAACAGTTCTTTATTATAAACTGTTACACTCCCTTTCCCCTATTATTTGTATATCAGTCTCAAAATGTACTTTGGGTATTGTGTGAAGAATCATATGAGTTTGGTGTTAGTAAATGACCAATTTTTTGTAATATTCAGTAGCAGGCATTGTAAAGGTTTACATGCTGTATTGTTTCATAGTAATATTTAAAGTTTTTGTCATGTGACTGTTGTACATGCTGCGGTAAACAGGATTGTGAATTCACTATGGAATGGAGACTATTTTTAAGCTTTCTAAAACAGCCTGGTTTAGGAGAAAAATCCTAGTCTGCTCTGTGAATAATGCTTACTCATACACTCCAGCTTTTAGAAATACTGTGATTTGCAGTAATATTTCTTTAATGTTTACTTCTTACTGGCCTGTGGTTCCTTTGATGCAATTTCGGTGTTGTGCCAGACAATATGTGTTAGAGTGAGCTTTTTAGTTGAGACTTCTGTTTTCTTTGTAGCTACTTAAGAAGCCTGAAAAAGATGAAAAAGACTTGGAGAGAAAAGAAAAGTCCAAGAAACTGGAAAGAGAGACTCTGAGGGAGGAAAAAAATGCGAGTAGTGCATCTGCCAAACGATCTGATGGGGAGACAAAAGAAGAGAAGGCAAAAAAGTATTCTAGTACTTGCTATAAATATATATGTATCTATAACTTGTTTCCTGATTGTACTGAGGCTTAGGCTGCTCTGCCATGACCATATTTTGAAATTCCTTTCAAATGCTTTTTCTTATATAAGGCATGAGCTGTGTTCTCTATGCCAGTGCACATCCCCGTGATTACAGAAAGCTTTGTGATTTATCTGGAAATTCTTCATTAGTGGACAGATTTTAATATTTTTACAACTTATTATAGGAACTCCACTAAGGAAGTCCATGTGTAGGTGAATGCAGCAGGCTGTGAGCACTCTCCTTGCAATGAGATAATTATTATAACCATGGCAAGAGGAGAGGTGTTCTCCACTTACCAGTTCCTCTAACTCTTGTAAAAAGTCAAAGTGGAAAATGTAATTCTCAACAGCTCCATGATCTGTTTGAGGTTCAGTTCTGCCATGTGAGAAATACAGATAAGACAGACAAATTCAGATGTTTTTTCAAAGCCAGAAGAGATTAGGCTGGGAAGCTCTAGTGGTCAGTGTCCTCTCTGGCTGTCGTGCATGACTTGGGCTATCACAGCCTCCCAAGAGCTCCCTAGTACCTGCCAGTGTGTCATCTTCCTATTGCACATTTACTCCACTATTACATTGATCTCCCAGCTCTGTTTGATGAATCTTTTGAGCTTAATTTTCAGTTTTGTTTTCATACAGATCAGAAGATGAGTGTGTAAAGGACTACAGGGACCGAGATAGAGATTTTGACAGAGACAGAGAATATGAGAGAGCACAGAGAGAGAAACTGAGGCGCCAAGAAGAGGAGCGTCGGAGGCAGAAAGAGCGCTATGAGAAAGAGAAGGTTTTTAGAAGAAAAGAGGAAGAGGTGAAAAAGGAGAGAGACTTACTCAGAGAAAAGGGAAAGAAAAGTGATCTTACAGACTTTACCAGCAGCATGGACAAATCTGAGAAAGTAACCAAAGATGATAAAAAAGAGGATGCAATTAAGAGGGATCGTATCAGAAACAAGGTGCTGGATTTCTTTAAATTCATGTGTTGATTCTTAGGGGTCTGTGGTTTTTAGGATAAAAGCACTTAAAGGAAATAACCATATGGTTTCTCTGTTGAAACTTCTCCCTGTTCTGCAGCAAACGCTGCCATTGCTAGAAATGTGCACTAAAATTTGCTTAACAGTGGTATTTCTTATCACTATGTAAGAACTAATCCAAGAAAACATGGGTGAAGCTGTAAGACACTGATCCCTTTTTTATTTGCTGACTTGTGCCATAGGCGGTCTCTTTAAGGTGTTGGTAGAGTATCAGTAATCTGTGTCTGCTGATCTTATGATGCCTGAAAATGCATCTCAGAGTGGGAGTGTGATTGAACAGGTTCCTTAAAATAGGAAACTGCAACTTTTAGAATATGACGTGTGCTCTAGGTTCAGGAAATAATGACTTGAGTGTAATTTTATGTACTCTACAAATTCTGTTTTTGAAATATCTCTGTGCTTGTTTTCTGTATCACTTAAGACATTGTCAGGTCCAAAAGAAACTCAAGGTTTTGAAACTTTGGCCTCTCTTCTGAGAGGATGAGAGCTGAACTCAGCAGGAAACTCGTTACAAATAACCTCAACTCTGAGCAGTGTTCATTGTGGTTTGAACAGGGATGTTGCTTTTCAACAGAGACAACCTTGATTTGGGACAATTGAAGTTACTTTGCCACCACTGTGGAATAATTAAACTTAGCCTGAAAAGTTTGAATTTGAGCCATTTCTAATACCATAGAAATGATGCCATAATAACCCTGAGAGCAGGGAGTTTTGAAAGAATCTAAATAGTTTTGATTTATTTCAGGATCGCCCAGCAATGCAGCTGTACCAGCCCGGGGCCCGAAGCCGGAGCAGATTGTGTCAGTATGAAGACAATGCTGCAAAACCCCCAGATCAGGGAGTGGAAAAGAAACAAGAGGGTGAGAGCAGTCACACGAAGGAAGAGGAGTGACTGATGTGCCAGCCTTATGTGTTCTGACTGTCTGTGCAGCCAAAGAGCATGTACTACGCAATCCAGAAGTGCCTTCGGAGCGAACAAGGAACAAAGGAAGAAAAGGGGGCATTGTGCTGTTGGATGTTTCTGGTTAAAGAAACTCAGTTGTAGATTCCAAATTTGAAATGTGTTCTCATTGTAATATTTTCAGTTATTTGAACTTATTTTCCCAGCATCTAACTACAGCAGAGAAGAGAATCTTTGCGAAATAGAAAGACTTTATGGCCTTAAGTTTGATAATAAATCAGTTGTGGTCAGGAGGAAATGACACCTGGATCAAAAGCCAGAGCTCTACTCTAAGGCAATTAGAGCCAGTGTTGGATGCACTTAAGCAGAGCAAGCTTGGAGTTGCCTGGAGTTAACACAGGTGTTGCTGTGTCCTGTGGTGCTCCTGCGTGAGGCAGTGAAAGCTGAAGTGTGTCAGTCTAGCACTGAGACACAAACCCAGGCTGGGGCTGTTGAGGTACCAGTGGATAGGAGCCTTTTGGCACACAAGGAGCAGAACATCTGGCAGTGCAGTAACCATGTTAGGGAGGGAGAGACCGTCCTCTTCAGTGGTTCTCTGGATAAAGTAACTTAAGTTGGAGTGTATGAATAAGCTGGCTTAATAGTTGAATATGACTTGATAAATTCTCATGTAAAGTCTCCCTACATTGAAATGCTTATTTTTCATCAAATGTAGCTGGTTTGGGCATCCTGTTCTTTTCCAGCATCTTCCCTTCACTCAAGTCTGAAACGTTTCTGAACTCCTGCCCTCTCGGAACTGCTGCCTCTTCCCTCATAACTTGAAGTATTGTTTTACAGCCCAGAACGGGACTTCGCCAGTAGCAGGTCCTCCCAAGCTAGCGAATTTTAGCCATAGCTGTTTTTTGTACTAAACCCAAATAAACTCGCACAAACTCGCTGGGCCGCCGCCGTCCCTCTGTGCGTGCGGGGCCGCCGGGCCGGCAGGGGGCGCTGCGCCCGCGCCGCCGCCGCCGCTCCGCCCTTTCCGCCTCCTCGGACGCCGCCATCGCCGGGACGCTGCACCGCTCCGCGCCATGGTGAGACATCCGCCGCCATCCGCGCCCTCCCGCCGCGCCCCGAGCCCTCTCCCCGAGGCCGCTGCGCTCGGGGGTCCCGGCGGGCGGGCCGCGGGGCAGAGGGAGCGGGAGGGAGCCGGGGGCGGCGTTCCCGGCTGGCCGAGGCCTGGCGGCTGTGCCGGGGCCGGGTGAGGCACTGACCGCTGCGCTCTCTTGCAGTCGTCGCACAAGACGTTCAAGATCAAACGCTTCCTCGCCAAGAAGCAGAAGCAGAACCGGCCCATTCCGCAGTGGATTCGCATGAAAACCGGCAATAAGATCAGGTGAGGAGCTCGGCCGGGGCTTCTGAGGAGCTGCGGCCGCGCAGGCTGAGCCGGCCGGGCCGGGCCGAGGGCGGGAGCTGCTGGCGCTTGTGCCGGCCGGAGAGCAGTGTGTGCCGGCCAAGGCGCTGTTTGTGCCCGGGAGGCCCTGCAGGGATGGGAGGGCAGCCGAGGCTTCCGTGCCATTTTTTTCTGTAGCGGTTTTGCACCGGTGCTCTGTGGGTGTCCACACACGTTCAACAGCGCTATGTGTAAAGTGGAAACCTGAACTGTACGTGTGGATGATTTATTCCAGATTTTGTTCCCTGGTAGCTTCTCTGTTCCTGACGTTCCCTTTCGCAATACCTGTCTTCTCTCAAAGGTGCCCCTTTGGGTTCCTGCATTTTCAAGGAATGGATCCTGAGCATGGGTGCTCTGGAGTTCAGGGAGCAAAGGAAGCAAAGGACTTGTTGGGTGTATGGGAAGTCAGATTGATAGTATGAAATGCTTGGCACCTGACTGTAGAATTAGTTTGTCATAGTTCCTTGCTTTCCTGTTGTGTTTGTTCTCGAGCACTGTGCTTAGGGAAATGCTGAGTGCTGTGACACACTGGGTGCACATGTGGCATGCATGGTCATGCTTGTCCAAGCCCTCTGGTTGAAAACTGCAGCATATTTTTATTTCATACACACCTTCATCTGGGCTTTTGAAGGCAGCAGATTTCCCTCTTTCTCTCTTAGTCCTAAGCAGTGAGGAGAGCAGCAGCAGCAGCACTGGCTGGCACAGGCAGTGACCCAGCACAGCATTGCTGGGTTCTGTTCTGTAGCTGCTCCCAGCTTGTTTCTAGGTGGGATCCTTGGTTCTTGCACTCAGCTGGATGCTTGTCTGCCACGTGCCAGGTTACAGCTGGGTTCTGTTTCAGCTGAATTGCAGTACTCTGAAATACTTGACCATAGGAAAAAATCATGGATTTTTGTCTCCTGGCTTGAGCAGCTGGGCCGTGGGTTCTGTCCAAGCTTTGTGTTAAAGCAGGCTGCAATTGCAGTGCTTCCTGCTGTGGGAGTGCTGCCATTTTCCTGCTGAGAGCAACTCTGTTAACACTGTGCTTTCACCCACACCCTGGTGAAAGCATTTGTTCTTAACATGGACAAGTACATGCTCAGAAGTTAATGTGCTTTCATGGAAGAGACTTCTTCCATGTGCTGTTCTGCTTTCATGTTTAACAAATGTGTGTGTGCACTTTGCTAATTCACTCTGCTTTTGTCTTAGGTACAACTCCAAAAGGAGACACTGGAGGAGGACCAAACTGGGCTTGTAAGAGAGACTGTCCCAGGAGCTCTAATGAACATTGGTCTTTCTGTGTCAGATCCATAACAGCCTCAAGTCATTCCTTCTGTGGTGCTGGAGTGCAGTCCCCAGTGTGGGGTTTTTATAAGCTGGTCTGGGATGTTGATGTTAACTGGGAAAATCTTTGTATCTGAAACATGGAGACTGTGTTCTATTAGTGTTCTTTCAGGCATCACCGTGAGCATTGGCACTGCACAGGCTTACTAATAAATATGGACCTGAATGACTTTGGTTTTGGAAATTATTTCATATGGATGTGGTGGGATCGTAACAATCAAATTAATGTTAATGTTAGTTATAGTCTCACTTAATATGAGGAACCTTGGTAGCTGTTCAGGTAGAGTAGGCTCTGTCTTCCTTTTCACTGACTGTAAACCTTCAGGAGCAAAGTACCAATTTTAAAAAAAGTCAAAATCAGACCTGAAGAAAATCTCTTGCAAAATGCAGTACTGTAGAGTGCAGTGCATAATGTCTGTGTACTCCCTAGAATATTAAATAACATGAGTTTTGTTGGGGAGTCTGTGTTGGTTTGATAAATCAACACCAACCACAAGTGCACCTTAGTATGAAACATTCTCAGCAGACAGGTAGAAATTTAAGATGGGGCTCAAAAGGTAAGTTTGCAGCTGTTTAAAAAAAGTGAGAGGAAAAAGAGGATTAAAGGTCTCTGGCACTCCAGCTCCCCTGTGCTGGTATTCTCTGCTGGGGCCTGTGAAATCAATTTACTGCAGGGAAGTGGAGGAGGAGCTGTGGCTCTGCACCCAGTCCTCTCTGTACACTGCTCTGAGCTGGGGTGGCTGCTCTGGTCACCAGGAAATCCCTGCTGCTGTGAGCCTGTCCTGGGCTGTGGCCAAGCCCATCCTGACACTGAGGGCTGCCAAGGTGCTGCTTCATTCCTGAATTCTGCCCCAGCCTCGTGGGTCTGTCCTGAGAGGCACTTCCTGAGGAAGCTTCAGGCTGCCATGCCTTCTGGGTTGCTGCTTTTCACACTGAGGGTAAATAGATTTATGCCTTTTGTATTGCAACTTTGAGCAAATAACTGGGTGCAGCATGTGCCAAACAGGAAAATGCTCAGAGAAATACACATCTCACTCAGAGGTCATGAGGTGCCTCCTTCCTAAGGTGTGCTGCAGGGTTCTGTAAGGGTGAGCAAGGCTGGGATTTTTACCAACCTCAGGATACTTCAGCAGTATCCTCTAGCTCCTTATCCTGTCTGGGAAGAGTCTGGGCTCCATCGTCAGGGGGAAGCAGTAAGTCACTGCAGCAGGAAAGCAGCAAGCAGCAGTGCCAGAGGTGTTGGAACAGAGGCTCGTGTGCTGCAGCCACTCTGACCTCAATGATTTTTAAAGCTTTTCTGCACTCTTTGAAGTGCGTGTTCAGGAAATAACAGCACTGCTGAGGACTGGAGTTCTGCCTTGGCATCCAGCTTACCTCCTCCAGCCTCCACATCACTGCTGGCAGGCAAAGCTGCTCACAGAGTTTCTGTAATTGTGCTATGGGGATCTGGCTGAGGAGGAAAACAGCAATTTTATGGGCTTGAGAATGGAAAGAGACAGTTTTTTCCATGGCATTTGTGGGAAAACTTTCCTGAGCAACAGATTGGACAATTTATTACTATTTATTAGAAAGTTTCCCTATTACTATCATGACTAATATTTTTATTAGGTGGAAGTAGCTTCTACTAAGGAACTGTTTTGGAAAATAACTCCTTGTATTATTTTCCCTATTTGAATCTGCTTTAAAAGCTGGACATTAAGGGATAACACAAAGTTAATTTAGTACAAATTGAACTTGGGTTAAAATCAATCCTCTGCAGAACCTTAACCAAACAAATATCTCTGGGTTTGAATGTTTTCTGTTGTCTGTGGCAGCTCTCTTTGCCCTCTCCTCCCTGTGAGGGGATCAGGAATCTCTGCAGAACTGAGCTAAGACATGAAAACACATCAACAGAAGCTTTAAAGAGAAAAAAAAAATTGGATATTGTAGTCCATTGATTTTGGTGGATATGCTTTGTTTTCTGAGTGAAAAGCAAAGTTGGAGCTGATTGTATACTTGAGGAATATTTTTCTAAACATGTCTCTGTATCCAAATCAGCTGCCTTTCTGTAGGTATGAAAATGAACCGAGTGAGACAAAGGGGTGGCTCACTGGAAGGAGTTTTTTTTTTTTGCTCAGTGGAAAGGGACCCACCCAGGGCAGGGGGTGACATGGTGAGGATGTTGTAACACATCTAGAGAAGCAGAGTTCTGGTTCTGCTCTGAAGTCCCCACCTAATTTGTCTCAGCACAGAATACTGGGTCAAACCCATGACCAAAGGATGAGGGCAAAAGCTTTCTTTAGGGGGTTTTGGTTATCTCTCAACAGGAGGTAATAACTGAAAATCATGTTGTGGTATTTAGGCGCAGCATTTGTCAGCCAAATTTTACTTGCAAATGGAACATTTAAGTCCATGTTTCTGGGTGGAGCATGACTCAGTCACAGGTACTATTGCCAAGGAAATGGCTCCTTCAAGGAAATTCTCAATTCCACTGTTTACTCTGTGCCTTACTCAGAGGAGGATGTAAGAGCCATCCTGTGCCCCTTCCCTGACAGCTGTAAAAGGGTAACAGAAGACTAATAGGTAAAAAAAAATATTTTGTCAGTCCTGTCTGTCTTATCAACAGCATTTTGGTTACCAGAGCTTGACACCAGTGCTGTTCATAGAGTTTGTGCTGGCATGAACAGACTGGTGGGAAGCCAGCCTGCTCTCCCATGGCATGGACATGGCCACAGCAGTTCCAGAAGGAGCTGCATTGCCAACATCTTCAATCTATTAGAGCTAAAGCATTGTAGACTGGGCATTAAACCTAGTTCCAGTGTGTTTTGTATGTATCTGCTACTGATCTCAGGGATTAAGATGTCCAGACACATCTTTATATCCACCCAGGCACCTGGACTGGGCATTATCCAGTCACTAGATCCCTGCTCACTCGTGGAGGCTGCTCTTCCACACGGCATTACTGTGGACTGGGTTAGTTTGGTGTCCAAGCAGCATTTCAAAACACAGTCTGAATAAAACTGGAGTTTGCTCAGGATCTGTGAAAGCCCCCAGCTCTAGTTCCCCAGAGGAAGTCACCTGTGTGTCTTTGTGTATCTTTCTGCATCAAGATGCAAATGCACCTGTGTAGCCAGGCCAGATCACCCTGAGTGCCTCAGTCACCCTGCAGGCCTCCTGAAAGGCAGCTGGAAAGAAAAGCACAACTGCCCCCCTAAAGGAGTTGTCCCTGCAAGGGCTGCCCTGGGGAACAGAAACTCCCCAGTTCCTGTCTGAGAACCACTTCTGAAACACAACTGCTATTTCAGGGCATAGGAATAGTCTCGTGCTGATTAGAAAGAGGAAGGGGCTGTTGTTTTTCTGAAGATATTTTGAAGCAGTACTGGCTTTTGAGAATGTAAAAAGCAAGTTGAAATCATCAGGGCAGAACTTCACTTGGTGAACAAAACACAAAGAGGCGAGCAGAGCCTTTGCCGTTTTAATGCAGTGACAGACATACATGCACTGTTATGCTGCTGCAGCAATGTTCATCAGAGTTTCATTTTTGAGCATGACCTCAGTAGCAATAAAAATAATCTCAATCTCACAGACTTCACATACCTTTTCCACAGTTTCTGAGGATGAATCATCTTTGCAGAGCTGTTCCTGAACTCTAATCCCCACAGGGGCCACCACGTGCAGCCTCCCTTGTGTCCTTCCTGCCTCCTTTGCTCTGGCCCCCATTCCTAATGAGGATGAGCATTTCAGGCTTCCTGGGAGGGGGATCTCAAGGGAAGGGCTGCCAGTGTGAGTTGTTTTGCATTTTGAAAGGCTTTTCTTGGCCTGGACTCTTCTAACAGGGCCCTTAGCCCTTACTCCACTGAGAATCAGCTTTATAATCAGCTGTCATAAATAAACATCAACCCAGAGAAGGTGCATATGGCAGAGATCAGGAGATCTCAGAGGAAGCTGGAAGGTGTTTGCAGCATGAAATCCACACATGGTGGGTCAGCATCCTCCTGACCATCCATGGTGGGCAAGCAGGGTGTTGGAGCAGCTCCCCACAGCACAGCTGACACGTGAGCCCCGACCATGGTGATCTGTTGGGATGCAGCAAGGAGTCCCCATCCATGGGGGCACAGAGCACAATCCCCTCTGCAGACAGGCAGTTTTTTGGAAGGGCTGTCCCAAGGTACTGCTCCCAATGGCCATGGTGCTTTGCACACCCACTGGAATGGCCCCAAAAGACCACAAGACCCAGGGTGGCCATGGTGCCATGGCTTAACCCTCACTTGGGCAGGATTTTGAGTAGCCAAGTTCTCAGCGCCCTGCAGGCTTTTCCAGCTGCTATCCAGCATGGGTTTACTGGTGAATGGAGGCAGGAGAGCTTCAGCGCTCATGGAAGAAAGCAAAGGCCTGTCTAACAAAGCCTCGCAGGGTCGACAGGCCCCAGGAGTGCTGGGCAGCTTTTCCCTCAGCCCCAGAGTCCACACAGTCCTGCCCTGCCCCAGCCTCTCTGGATGACTTACAGTTGTTGTTGGTGTTGTGAGAGTGCAGCTGGACCAAATCCTCCTCCAAGGCCCCTGCCAGCTCCTTCAGGTCCCTGGAGGTGTGTGCTGGCAGGTACTGCCAAGCCTTGCGCCCATTGTGGTCCCTGCAGGTGGTGTCTGCCCCGTAAGCTCCCACCAGCACCTTGATGAGCACCTCGTGTCCCTGCAAGGCAGCCAGGTGCAAAGGGGTGAGCCCGCCGCTGGCTGTGGGGATGTTCATGTTCACAGGGTAGCCTTTCTTCTGGGCGTGGGAGATGACCTGGATGAAGCTCTCATGGTGGCCATGCTTGGCAAGCCAGTGGAGAGCGGTGAAGCCTGTCACAAAGTCTCTCCTGGTCAGCAGGCTGGGATCCAGGTCCAGCAGCTTGATGATGCTGTCCGCATCGCCCTCGGCCACCGTCAGCAGCCACGCGTGCTCCAGGGGATCAAGGACAAGGGGCAGCAGATCAGAGCTCTGCTCAGGCTTCTGCTCTTGGTGCAGCCCTGCAGGAACACTGCTGCTGCTGGATGTCTTCTGGGCAGTGGCAAACCGCAAGGTGCTGCCAGGGCTGTTGCTCTGCAGGAGGATTTCCTTCAGCTCCTTCCTCCGGGTACTGCTGGGGCTAACGGAGAACCTGCCTGAAGCCCTACCCCAGCTCCCCAGGCTGTGCCTGCTCCAGTTGGTGCTTTTGTTGGTGTCCATCTTCTGCGGCGTATGGAAACGCTCCAGCGTGGCTGGCCAGAGATGGGAGCCGCGGGCCGGGCCGCCCGCTCGGGGCTGGGCGCCATCCAAGAAGGTGAACCTCCGGGAGATGCCAGCTACCTTCTGCTCTGCCTCGCCCCTGTCCCGCTCCTGCCGGGCCATGGCGGTGCCTCTCGCAGGGCTGTCCCCAGCTCCCCAGCCTGGCACGGCTCACACTGCCCGGCACTCACCCCGCGCTTCCCCCGCCGGTCCCGGGCGAAGGAGGAACCGATCCGCACGGCGGCGGCGGGGCATGGCGGCGGGGCGGCGCGGTGACCTTTGCCCGCTCACGCTGTGTCCGTGAGGCACGGCTCGAACACGGCTGGCTCTGCCCACACGGACCGACACGCTCCCCTGAGCCGGCCGCGAGCGAGCGCGGCCGGGCTGCGGGAACGGGTACGAATAGAGGGAAAATGCGGGAATACAGGGAACATGTAGGAATACAGGGAACGTGTGGAGATACAGGGAGTGTGCGGGAATACAGGGAAAGTGTGCGGGAATACAGGCAAGCGTGGGAATACAGAGAGGGTGCGGGAATACAGGCAAGTGTAGGAATACAGGGAACATGCGGAAATACAGGGAGTGTGCGGGAATACAGGGAGCGTGTGGGAATATAGGGAGCGTGAAGAACCGCAGGACCAGATGAAGGCACGGGGGTCCCGGGCAGCTCAGTGCTGACACTACAGCAGAAATTGCTGAACTGTATTCTCCTAGCTGAACAGTCTCCTTTAGCACTGCTCGTTCAGCATTAGCACCTGAAGCAGCCAAAGCTTTAGGCCGTAAGAGCTGACCAAACATAAACTTTTGATAAAATGATGCTGCTAACACAACAGTCTTGGAATTCAGCAGATATGAGCAGAATGGAGGTGATAAGGGCCAAGGAGACAATCCCAGGAGAATAAGGGAACATCAGAGGCAGCCAGCCCAGCTCCAGTGAAACCCAGCAAGAAATCAAGATGCTGCCAACCAGAATTTAGTGATTGACTTGGGTTGGGTGATGAGTGTCAGGGGTATAACTGAGAGGTGTGAATTGGGGTAGGGGTCCCTCTCTGGAAGCACCAGCCAGACCTGTAACCAAAGAACTAACAAAAGACTCATTGGAAACATTCACTTGAACCCAACATTCTTAGCAGGGTCAGACCATGTTACATTGTCTGGCGTGTGTAAATCCATGACACTGGTCCCAGGACACTTCCTCTGACCCCAGCAGCACCCCAAGATTGTCTCACTGAAGCAATTGCCTTACAGCCCTCCTGAAACAGCCCCCCATGGCTGCAATGCTTGTCCTCGATGCTGTGCTCAGGAAGGCCCAGGTTACTGCCCCCAGAGCCCATGTTCCAGCGGCTGGTGGGTTTCTCTGATGTAAGGGAAGCCCAGCCCGGGACACTGTTTGGCTCCTTGCCACCCAATGTTTCATCCCACTGGGAATTTGGCCTTTCTCTCTTGCCATAATCCCCTTTGTAGTACAGCCCATGCCTGGTGTTGCTGGCAGCTGCAGCCAGTAGTCTGTACCCTAATTTTGTTATCAATCAGGACCAGTTCTTCTGCTGCAAATTCTTCCCAGTCCTCTTTCTCTCCAGAAGTTTTTTATCCATGACTGCTCTGACACCCGTGGCTGAACTGTCATCAGGTGGTTTTGCAGCTGGTCAGGCAGCTAAAAGCCACAACAGCCCCTTGAAGCTTTTTTCTTTGCCTTCCCTAAGCTTTAGCCCTGCTCTGACTTGCCCTGAGCTGGTTGTCAGCCTTGAGGGCCTTTGCCTTTTTCCAACCACTTGGACCAGTTTTTCTGGGATGTGTGGGGAGTTGGCGTAGTCTCAAACCCCAAAGAACTGGTGGTAAAAGCATAATTGTCCCCTTGTTCCCTTTCTGGAGCTGCCTGATTTTGTCACTGGGTTTTGGTGGCTTCTGTGGGCTCAGGGGGGCAGAGAACTTGAACCACACAGCCATGAGATCCTGGTGAACAGTTGAAAACACTTGGGTGGCATCCGGGGAAAACAAGGAGGGAAATAAGGAGCTGCTCTTGGGAATGAATGCATTAATGGTGCAAAACAAGCCTCCCATTCAGGGCCACCGCGGCCATGACTGCATTAGGGACTGGACACACTGGTGAGCTCTGACCATGATAAAATCAGGGTGACAACCTCGGGGACTTCACTCGGGAGTCCAGGGGCCAGGACAGTTGTTTTGGGGAAGGACTGAGTTACCCTCAGCCTCGTTTGGTGCTTGTGCTGCCATCACATGAAGAGAAACCCAAGCGGCACCAGCTTTGTGCTGCAGCAGTGCTCAGACCGGCCGGGAGCTGAGGCTGCACCGGGGCCGGGCAGGAGCGGCGGTGCCACAGGAGGGAACCGGGCACAGCCGTGCTCAGCCGGGGCCCGGGCGGGCCCGAACCGTCCTGGGACCTGGGGCAGGGCAAGTGCGAGCCGCACGGACATTGCGCTTGAAACAGCAACCCTGCTGAGCCCCGGGGAACCTGATCGGACCCGAACCGCGAACCCCAGCCCAGCCTCGGGGCTGCCCGGCTCGGCCCCGGCCCGTGCTACCGTAGGGGCCGCAGGGCACCGGGACGGGTCCCCCTGGGCCCTCCCAAGGAGGCGGCGGGGAACAGTTCCCCGCGCTGGGAGCGGGCAGGGCCCGGGGTGCGGCCGGGCAGCCCGCGGGGCAGGCAGGGGACCCGGTGGGCCGGAGCTCGGTACCCCCGGGCCGGGGCTCGGCGCTCGCCTGGCCCCTCAGCCGCCGCCCCGAACCTCCGCCCGCCCCGCCCGCAGCCCGGGCTGCACCATCGCGGGCTGCTGCGGGGAGGGAGCGGCGGCCCCGCTCCTCACGGAACGCGGCGGCGGCGGCGGCGGGACCGGCGGGACCGGTGAGGCCGAGCAGGGCGGGGAGGCGGCGGGGCGGGGCGGGCAGCGCGGGCAGGGCGGGCTCGGGGGCGCGGCGGGGCCCCCCCGCGCGGTGCCGCGGTGGGCGCGCCCGGAGCCGCCCGCAGGCCGGGGCGGAACGTGCGGCGGGCGGGCAGCGATGGCGGCGGCCGAGGTGGCGCGGCAGGTGCGGGTGGCGCGGGGCCGCCGAACCGCGGGGGCCGGGCGGCACCGGGGCGGCGGGCCGGGAGCGGGGGCCGGGAGCGGGCAGCGCCGGGGCGGCGGGCGGGAGAGCCGGGCATGGCCGCGGCGGCGGGGCCGGATCAGGGGGCGGCGGGCGGGCTGTGAGGGCACCGGCCTGGGCCTCCCGCGGGTTCCGAGACTCGGTTCGGAGCAGCAGCGGCGGCGGCTTCGGGAGGGTCGGGCTTTGGCGGCCCACCCGAGAGGAGCTGGGGTCGCCTGGGGTAGAAGATGTTGGGGTCCCCCCCGCTGCAGCCCGGCCCGGCGACCTTGGGCTGCCCGCAGCGCGGCGGGCCGGGGGTCCTGCCCCCCGGTGCCCCCCGGTGCCCCGGGCCACGGCCGGAGCTGCCGCGCTGCCCGGGGCTGCAGCGCTTGGGAGGCCGGGCCGTGCATCCCTTACCCAGGGCTGGGTGCCCTCGGCATGGCTTTGGCATCCCTGCCTCTCCGGGATGCTGCTCTCCTCCCAGAGAAACCCTCGGGCTGGGTGATGCGGGAAAGGGAGCTCTCCGGTCTGGCACCGTGTGCCGCGGAGGAGCTGCGGGAGCCAAGCACCAGCCCCGTGTCCCCGCTGCGCTTTGTCCCCGAGGGTCCCCGGTCGTGGCACCGGCCGCTGCCGGGCTCGCCCGCCTGCCTGGCGCGGCACAAGATCCCTGTGTGTCTGTGTGCGGAGAATTATCCAGAAGAGGAGCAGAGGGAGTTGAGCCACCTCTGCGCTTGTCAGAGACATGCTAAGGAGGCATCTGTAACGCGTTTGCATGTGGAAGGGTTTTGTCTGTGGTTTGATGGGCTTCCAACTTTCATGTCCGTGTGTTAATACAGAAGTAATAGTTGAGGTGAATGCTTTCCAGTTTCGTCTTCAAAGCAGTATGTTTTAGCATGGACCTAATCTTGCTGAACGGGTAGATGTAGCCATTCCTTGCCAGTTTGTGATGTTATTTCCTCCTGGACATACCCATTCCCTTGTATGTGACTGCCAAAATATGTAAAGTGACTCAGTTGCTCCCCTGTCTTTTAGAGAAATTGAGTGTTATGCTTTCCTAGGACAATGTACAGGAGTTTGAGACATCTGCTTGTGGCCTGGAATGAATTTATGGTACCACACAGCCTCGTTTTGGAGGCAAAAGAGAAAACTGGCTGTGAGACAGACTTGAAATGAGTGTGCTGCAAATTGAAAATGTCCTTTTACAAACAGATAACTTGTCAGCCAAGGTCTTGGCATCTGGTCACGTCTGCTTTGTGGAGCAGTCAGCTGTAATGTCCCGGTGGTGCAGAGGGTTCTGTGTGTGCCAGCAGGGTTGAAGGTGTGAGAGCTGGGGCTGGGTTTGGGGTGGAGCTGGGGTTACCACCCTGCCATTGTCCCAGAGAGCCCTTGATCAAGCCCACACTCACTGCAGGGATAATCTGTGAAACCCCCTTCTCCCCAGGTGGGCAGGGTGGCCTTGTCACCACCAAGGCCACCTTCTCCTGTCCTCTGCCAGGGGGGAGACAGGGGCACAGGAGCCTCCTGCCAGGCACTGTCCAGCTCTCTGTATCCAGCAGAGGTCAGAAACATTACTGAGACTGCTGATAGTGATATGTATCTTCTAACTGCTGACTTCTCCTGGGAATGTATCCAGACTGCGTGGCATTTCTGCAGCCTTTTGTCAGGGGCATAAAGAAGTGTAATCTTAAGAGCTGTCAGAAGTTGAGATTTCGGAAGCACTTGACTGTTGGTGAATGTTGAATGGCCGAGTGATGCAGTGTGTCTGGAGAGGGTGGCTGATGGTCAGGACCTTTGATGAGACCCTTCTTGCTTTCCATGGGGTCTGATTCAAAACTATTTCCCTCCCACTCTTCTGGTGTTTTATATTCTTGATGATCTTGTATCAGCTGAGCAAGGAAAAATAACAAAGTCTTTATCTATTCCTGATTTACATTTATCTTGTAGAGGATGTTTACACTGTCTGCTGGATAATTCTTTCATTACATAGGAGAATTACATACTTGTACAAGTGAGAAATAATTGGTACAAGTGTTGCTCTCATTTGCTGTTTAATCAGAACCAAATGCTGTCTGGGGAAGTGAATGCCATAACTCCAAGGTCATGAGAAGGGATCTGATGTTGTTCTGGCTTAAAGGCGATGTGAAAAACTGTCGTGTGGAAACCTGAGTTCAGGTTCTGCCTTGCTTTGCCATTTGACTTCTTGTGCAAGAGCTGTCTCAGGTTTGGGGGTTGAGCCCCAGGTTTCAGCATTAAGGGCAGCAGAGGGGCAGGAGGTGGCTGCTGTGAGCCCTGGCAGTAGTGGTGGAGCTCTGTGAGTGTTGCTTTATTTGGTTTCAGTGCAGGATGGTGCTGCTGTGTTGGTTGTGGCAGTTTGGAAATCTTTCTGAGGGAGTCTCCAAGGCCTCAGGGTTTGAAGTGATTCTCATTTGGGAAGAGGTGAGAAATTGTGTCAGAAGTACTACGTGTCAGTTGTCAGTGTCCCGAACAGAAACACTCAAGATGAAGTATTGTTCTGCAGCCTCTGAGAGCAGTTTTGTTCTGTGTGGGCTTCATTGGGACACCGGGTTCAGAGCTGTAAAATTCTTTATTTTCTTTGCTGTGCTCTGCCTGAATATCACCAAGTGGAGGCTTTGCCTTTGTCTGGAGTCCTTTCTCATCATTCTTTAGACCTGGGCACAGACACAGTCCCGAGTGCAGCGCTGACATTTGCAGTGAGCAGCCCCATTGCCTGTGCTCTGCCCTGGCTCCACAGAGGCAGTGGCCTCTCAGGGCTCTGGGGACAGGAGGTGACACTGCTGTACCTGCTTGTCCTGCTAAGCAGATCAGGGCACTGATGTGCATTCAGCAACATTTCCCTCTAATCGTATTTTCATCCCAGGGACCCCGGAGTGATTCAAACACCTGAAGACTAAAACTTGTCCCTTTTATGTAAACTGATGGTTAATGGATGGTGCTTTCAGGCGTGGGGTCATTTATTATAACACCTTTGTGTTTTCTATATGATTTGGATAGTTTTCTGTAAGAATTAGAACAGGTGGTGGTGGGTTCTATGGCATGGAGAAGCCCTTACAAAAGGCTGTATAAGTCCCTCTGAGAAAGGAAAAAGTAAAATAGCTTCTCCAAGTGGCTGCTCCTTGCTCTCCTTACTTTCACTCTGCAATAGCCCTGCCTGCTAATACAGCAAGAGAATGTGTTGCTCTTTTTGTTTTTTAATCTTGTTTGTGACAAACACGCTTTACTTCCTCCCAAGCAACAAGAGCCCCTTCTGTCTAGGCAGGGGGCACTCTGTGTGTGTGGGGAAAAAAAGGCATCTGGTATCTTGGTGTGGTGCCAGTGTTCACACTGCCTTCCAGAGATTCCATCTTTGCCTTCGTTCCAAGAAGATGTAACCTTAAAATAAAGAGCACAAAGGGCTCTCAGCCATCCAGCACTCACTGATGCTCCTGGAAAAAGCATTCATGCATACAGTAGTTACACTTTGCTTACCTTGTTGGTGCCTCTCTATATGTTTTAAATTTGATCTGGTTTGGAAGATGAATGATGGAAGACAGTCTTGAACACCTTATCAGCAAAAAGCTTATAACATATTCTCCTTCAGTGTTGAACAAGGGGATCCAAACCTACATTGAATATACACCCAGGATGACTAATCAGTGTGTTCATATGTTGTTTATGGTGCTGCTGTTTATATATAGCAGTGCTCCTGCACAGAGACACCACTTGGTGCTCAAAGGCTGGTGACTTGCACTGTTTCTTGGTGGATCACACAGAAAATGTTTCTTTTCTCTCCACTGGTTTGGTAATTACTGTCAGCTTTCTGATGAGTGTCAAAGAGTGTCAAAGCCAGGCTGATCTTGAAATGTTATTTCTTTTTTTTTTTTTCCCACTGCATCCAGTCTCTTGATGCCTTGGCCAAGGAGGCTGTGGATTTTTAGGCAGAGTAGCACAATCTACCTTATGGCTGTGTACTTAACATGGAGGCTTAGCTGCTGTGACTGGAAATCCCATTTTGCAGTAGTTGTTTCCTGGCCTGTACCAGATGTGAACTGTGGTTTAGCTGCATTGTAAAACCACAGGTGACTAGAAAAAGAACCTACAGGAAATGACTTGCATGCTGAATTCTGTGTGATGGCAAATGCCTCCTCTTAGCTGAGAGCAGCTTAACTTCCACAATTTATTTTGTTCCATCTGGATCACACTTATATTTAGGGATGAGGGGATGATTTGTTCTTAATGAGAGCCCACACTCCTGCCCACGCTTCCTGGGGAGAGTAGTGTTCAAGCAGTCTTCCAGTGGTGTGGTTTTAGGGCTGGGTATTAAAAATACACTTGATATTTGTCCTTCCCCAGAAAGTGTCTTGGGTTGTTCTCTCTTACACCTTTGTGGACTCTGTCCCCCCTCTGTTCTTCACCAGGACCTGGGGCTGTCACTGCAGATCCAGCACTGCCATGAGATTCCCCAGGGCTGGGGTTTTGTTTGGGTGAATGCAGTTTAGGAGGGTTTGAGTCACAAAAATCTGTGTGTCTGGCACTCTCACTTTCTTCTGCTTTAGCTGGTTCTGCATTCCTGGGTCTCACAGCTGCACTGTCAGTAGGCAAAGCCAGAATGTGCTGGGCAGCCTGAGTGCCTTCCTCATGAACGTGTCATTAGGAGGGAGGGTGCTCAGGAATTAATGAAGTGCCATATTTGGTGAACATCTTGTCAAGAAGAGTCAGACTAATACACAAAATATGGCTGAGGGGAAACATATTTACACATCACAGGCTGGTAAATATGGTTAATTATTGAAGTGTATTTGGAGCCTCATATCTGAAAAAGCCAATCCAAACCCACAAGAGCAAAACAGTAACATGACAAGAAAACATACTGACAGGCTACTGTAGTAAATGTACTCCTTGGGGATGTTTTCCCAGCTTAAAATACCAGTGTCATTAGCAGAAGAGGGAAAACCAGTATTCCTGTCCCTATAAACAGGCTTTCAAGATATGTGGAAGAATGATTGTGAATGAATAAATTCAAAATCACACCCTATAAACTACTGCCTTTTGGCTGTAGTGTTTTTTACAAACTGATGGAAAGCTAGAGGGAAACTTTCTGATTTTCACCTTTAAATATGTTTTTAAGAAAAGCCTTTGCTTTAGAGAGGGAAATACCTTTTGGGGCTGCAGGAGGACAGCACTCCAGTACACACCAATCCAGGGGTGCAGCACTGGCTCCTCATTTTGCCTGGTGCCATTTCTGAGGCTGAGCCTTTGTGTGTTGTGTTTTACTGTTGGCTGGGCAGGGTTGGCACCAAGGGGGGTGAACATTTCTGACCCCCTCCCAAAGCCCGTGGCTGTTCTGGGCATGGAGCACCACATGTTCTGCTGGGCTGGGGAGACAGGTTGGTGGTGTTGAGCACAGGAGGGAGCAGGGTGCAGCAGCAGCTCCTCAGGGAGTCCTTTGGGTGGCTGGGCAGGAGCAGCCCTTGCCCCCAGCAGGAGGTTTGAGTGCCTCCACTCCCAAACCCTCCTTGCAGGCTCCTTCAGGCCTCTGGGGTTGTGAGCAGCTCAGTTCTGGGCACTCTGCTTTGTTTTCCTGTAGGTACACTTTCCCTTACTGTTTCTAGCTAATTTCTATAATTGCAGCTGTGAATGGGAATTACATGTGAGCTCCAATTCACATAAAGTGAATGGTAAGAGCCTTGTGGGAGGTGTCATTAATACATTGCTTTGCACAGAGGATTCTTTTTGTTGTCAGTATGAGGTGAGACTTGAGTTTCTGCATATTTTTTGAAGAAACAAGTGTTTTTCACCTCTTCATTTCAGCAGCTGGATTTGTGTACATGTTTTGCACATTTTAGTGTTATTCTGTCAGGGCTATCTTCAAACGTTTGACACATGAAATGTTCTGTTTGTGCCTCCTGGAGTTGTTTTAGGGAGGAGTGAAGCATGCTGACATGATTGATAGATCTGAGCAATTCCCTGCCTGGACTGTGCAATTGATTCCACTCGGGAGGTCGTGAGGGTTTATACAGAGAAGTGTGTTTTGCCTGGAAGTGACACAAGTGTTTCATTGTATTTCAGGGTGAAGGCTGTCGCACTGTCCCCCTCTCTGGACACGTGGGATTTGATAGTTTGCCTGACCAGCTGGTTAATAAGTCAGTTAATCATGGGTTTTGTTTCAACATCCTGTGTGTGGGTGAGTATTTCCATTTTGGGAAGTTCTCTTGCTGAAAAGTTTTCTGCAGCTGGATGTAGCTCGTAGCTTACAGCACTAACAAGGTAGCTTTGATTGAAATTTCCCCAACTGTTCTATTTTCAGTAACAAGATTTTCTGGGAAATCCCTACTGGGGTTCTGCAGTATGGCTTTCTACCAAGCAGTGAAATAAAATGCCTAAAACCACAGGCTGTTATTATGATCTTTCTTTTCCTTATATGTTTGAATTTCACATTCTTAAAAGAAAATAGGTACTCATGCCAGAGTACTTTGTTATGAGGTCTTGTTTGGTTTAGTATTGAATTATTATTGTAGTTATTTTAACAAAATACTAATCGTGCTTCTCTTAAATCACTAAAAGGTATTTTTTTCTCCTCCCTTCTGTGCATATTTGAATTAAGGTAGTGTCTGGCCAAGCCTTAACTCTTCTGACAATTATCCAAGCTGCCATGTGGTGTGGATCACAGCTGGGGGCTGGCACTGGAGCAGGACTTGGTGTCTGTCCCTGCAGCCCATCTCACAGGGTTAGGATCCCAAATAATCCCTTCTCTTGGGTAACAGAAGTACACCCCTGTATGGCTTTGGTACCATCGTTTAGGAAGGTTAATTAGGAAATTAAAAATGGTGAATTAATAATTGATGGGTTTGGTGCTGCTGGTGCCCTGCCCTGGGGATCAGGAGGCTGTGTGGCCGTGGCTGCAGGTGATGCCAGCAGTGCCTGGTGTGCAGGGGCAGAGCATCAGCTGGGGATATCTGCTGGGGGCTCAGCTGGTGGCAGCCCTGCATCCACACAGAGTTTTCTGTCCCCTCTCAGGAGAGAGGCAGCTCATGGGATGCACCTGGGGTTTGCCCAGGACAGGGTTAAATTTGAAATGAGAGTAGTGGAGCAAGGAGAGGAGAGCTGAGCCCTGTTAAATGGAGCTGAGAAGACAGTTTTCCTTACAACCACATCTTACATTCCCCTGAGATGATAAACTTTGCTGACAAGTGGAGGTCACTGTCAGGCTGAGTCTGTGGGTAATTTCCACAGTACATGAATGTGATGTGACCTAAGGAAACTCCTGTCCCCAGGACTGAAGTCTAAAAGTGTTTTCTTTTCCACTTTCTGGGCTGCAGTGTTTTTTTACAAGTTCTAGGTGTAGCAGTGGGTGCCTCCTGTAGTTACATCTTCACTTTGATGTGTGGAGCGGAGCTGAATGCCTGTGCTTTCTTCTTTGCAGGGCAGAAATTGAATGCAGTAATCACTTGTTGAGGTGAATAATGAGGATTCACCAAGATAAATGTACATTAGTTACTAATGTCAGTTTTGTATGAATAGTAATAACACAATCTTGAAATAAAGAAACTTTATATAGAAAAATATAATAAACTTCATTAGAAAAAGGTTTGCAAATCTTTGCCCCCACATTTAAACATCCTGGAGAAAGAAAACAAAAATTCCCAGTATTCATTTATTCTGTTGGATTTCACTTGTAGAGCAGAGTTTGGGATGAAAAGTTGAAAGAACAAGGAAGTAAATAAAGATTAGATGAGAATCCCATAGAGAGCCCACTAAGCATGACAGAAAGGGATTTCTTTCCCCCATTTTTTCAGCTGTGTGTGGCATCTGTTGGAGGAAAAATCCAATGATAATTCTACTCTGTGTCATACTGGATCTGAGCCACCAATTCCTGCAGCTCTTGCTGGAGAAGCCAAGGAAAGCTTCAGAAATGACTCTCAGCAGCATGTCCAGAGTGGAGCAGTTTTTAGCTCTTCTCATGCTGAAAGCTGTCTCCCCTGTGAGCCTAGAGCCAAAGCTAGAATGAATGAGAAAACCTCTCATTAAAAGTTAGGGGTTGCAGATGGCTTCTCTGATCCTTTATTTCTCAGCACAACCATTTTCTTCCTAAACTTTGCATGATAAATTTTTTAGTTTTTTCTTAGTTCAGTGCAAAGGAGAAGTGTTTAATGGCTGAGACTTTCTGTGCTGACTGTATTTCTCAGTGAGATAGGGGAAAAAGAGGAGGAACAGGCTGCTGGTTTGGTATGAACTTTCTCAGTTTTTGCCAGGGTGGACTGTAGTTGCATTAAACTAGTATCCCAATTTAAGCAGGATTTTGTCCCTGCCTCTGTCCCAGGATTTGCAGGGAATTTGTTCTAACTGGCCTGTTCAGTGCAATGAGAAAGGCTGTTTTGTGGCAGAAGTACTTCTGTCTCCCCCAGGACTGTAGCAAGACTGTTTGAGGTCACTGCTGTGATGTGCAGGGCTCTCAGCCTGGGGGAGGGAGGGATGAGCACAGGATTCCTGGTGCTCTCCAGCAGGCAGCTCTCTGGGGTGATGAGCTGTACAGCCTGGAAATTGCCCAGTGCTTGTTTCTGTGGTCACTGGTGCAACAGCTGAGGAGAGAACAGTTTCTCTAATCAAAATCCATCTGTCTCCTCAGCCTTCTCCTGCCCAGAGCCCTGGGTGGATGCCAGGGGCTGGGTGCTCCCCTGAGCTGCTGTTTCAGTGTATTTTGTGAGCCCTTGTTGCCCTCCTTGCCCCAGCAGCCCAACTTTTGCCTGGCTGTGGGGAACTGTGTGGTGTCTCTGCATGTCTGTCAGATGGAACAAACCATTTTCCCCTCTCTCCTTGAGACGTGGCCTTATCAGTCTGAGTTGCCTCAGGGCTTGTCTCAGCAAACCTGCTTCATTGGATTAGTTCCCATTTCCACACATGAAAAGGCTGTGCATGCATATACATTTTCTTTAAAATTGAATTATTTGATATCTGGAACCACGGTTGTTAATCTTGTGAGGGGCAGGTGCTGCTCTCTCATGAAAGGAAGCTCTTGTGGAAGCTGCTCCTGCCTTTGAACAGGGAAATACTCCAAGGACTGCTCTGTCCTCCCACAGAGTCGATTGATGATGATGTGATTGGGGTCTCTTAAATCCTGAGTGTTGTGGGAAAGGGAGGCAGTGAGCAGTTCCTTGTTTCACTTAGCACATGCTAGGGAAAAGCAAATTAAATTTCCAGGCACAAAAGGAGGAGGTGCAGCTTTTGTGGTGCATAATTCAGCTCACTGCTGCAGCTGCTTAGGATGCTAAAGGTTGTGTGAAGAGAAGCCATGACAGTTCATTCAGCAGGAAGGTGCCTGTCTTGGTTTGGGGAGTTAGGAGCTTGTCCCAGCTGTAGGTTTGCAGGTGGTGCCACCACTGTTCGTTCACTGTGGGATTTGGTGAGGGCTCCCCAGAGCAGTGAAGGTACCATGTGCATGTGCAGTTGGAGCAGGGAATGTCTCAGGAGGATGTGTGGGGAGCCCAGCACAGCCAGGCTGTTGGGCATTAAGAGTGGTTGGTGCTTTCTGAGCACTGATGTAGGGCTGCTGCAGGTCCAGAACCTGCAGTGGTGGCTCTGGCCATTTTTTAAAATGTCCTTGAAAATTGTCAGATTTAACAGCAAAACTCCATCCCATGATGAAAGGTACAACACTCGAGCTTTTCCATTGCTGTCACATCTTCCTGGTGCAGAACTCTCTCAGCAAAGGTCAGTCTCTCTGCCCTGTCCTCCCCAGAGAGCTTTGCCAGCCCTGTTTTGGGACAGCAGACCCTGTTGAGTTGCATAATCCCTAAGTACGGTTTTGGAGATAAATCACGTGTCCATAAGCCTGACATCAGGAAATAATCTCCCTGCCAGGGGTGCCTCTCACTCAGTTTGTGTACACTGCTGCTTTTTTTCAAAGTAATTCTGCCTCTTTTAATCCCTCTTTTCATCATTTCTGGTTTTTGGGGAAGATTCCAGTGCCATTGGCTGCAACAAGCACAGACCAGTTGTCCTTTTTTATCAGACCATCTGTTCCATCTGGACTTCTGTCCTTACAAGAAGCAGTTGGCACCATTCACTTCTTTCAGCCAGCAAAAAGTTGCCTCTGTGTGAGGCAGAAACTCACAGCAGATTCAAAAATTCTTCCTTCTGTCGATTTGGCCTTCAGAATAGCACTGTTCACTATCTCTGCTCATATTTAACACAGCAGAACCCTTTATTAGTGTCTTTAGTCTTTTACTATTTCATGTCACTCTGTCAGTGCTAACATTCTTTGTGCTGAAACAGTCTTTCCTCTCTACTCTGCCTTCCCTGGCAGGCTTTAATTCTGTGTCAGGTCAGTGGGGTTACACAGTGCAGGGACAGGGGTATCTGCTGGCTCAATGGGAGTGCAGGCTTCACATGAGATGCCATGTTAGTGCCTGGATGTTTTAATCATGAAGGTGTTTGGATGGGCTTCTCCCACCCGTGGAAAAATGCCCCAGTTCTGATCTTCCCCTCCCAAAAGGAAAAGCTCAGTGGTTGAGTTCAGAGTTGCCTTTGCTGGCCCTGTGTAGCTGGCATGAGGTGGGGTGTAGAATCATGTTCTGCATCTCTTAAACACTTCTCCTTCCCTGACAGTTCAAGTCACTCCTGCTGGAAAAAACACTTGAGATGGATTTAAGTAGGCAATGATTAACAGGTTCAGGATGTGCTTAAACAATAGACTTGGCCCCATGTGAACATCTTTCACCCAAAAGGAGAGAGGCAGAAATGAGAGGTGACTTACAAGGTGCTGTCTGTCCAGAAGCCAGTGTGGTTTACAGATGACCTTGTGTTCCCTGCAGAGAGCAGCTCCCTGCCCTGTCACTGCTGCTGGTCCCCTGTCACCCTGTCCTGTGGCCTGGGGGCTGCTCCAGGGCCTGCCAGGCTGTGGGGCAGTGCCCCAGGAGGAGCCTTTGCAGGACTGTGTGGGGTGAGGCTCCTGCCCTGCAGGGCTGAGGGGCTCCCCTACCCTGAGATGTCCCATCAGGGTTCCTGGCATTCACAGGCAGGCAGCCAGCTCACTGCTCTGTCCCACCCATCCCTTGGCAGGGGCTTTGGAAATGCTGCAGCCTTCTCAGGCTGTTTAGATTTTTGTCTGTTTTTACTCTGCTGTTTTCCTGGAATCCCTGAGAACGGCCTGGGAGGTCACACAGGCTGTTGCTGTTAACTCTCAAAATCCCATCCATGGCAGTGCTCTGGTCTGATTTGTGCACCTGCTCTGTTTTGGAGGCCAATGGTCCCTGGCAAGTCCAGGCAATGAGATTCCAGGTCAAGGAAGGGCCTGTTGGAGCAGCTTATTGTTCCAGTGGCAGAGGTAACCTTGTGCTTTGCTGAGTCCCCCTCCCTTGCTCTGGCCAGTGCTGTTGTAGGTGCAGCTGATGCATTGAGGTGGCACAAGGGACTGCAGCCACACCAGCTCCTGCTGCTGACTCCTTCTTCTCCCCTTTGGACTGAAAACCAGATGGGTGCAAAGAGCAACTGCCCTGGTGACTGTTCTGGCTGTAGTTGGAGTTGGTTGGTGATGGAGCACAAGGTCTCAGCTGGCTCCCAGGCAGTTCTGCAGCTCAAGGTGTACACTGACTTGGAAATGTTAATGGATCTTGCTGCCTCTGGAAAGGGACTGGATGTGTCATCCTGGCAGTCAGGGACTGCTCAGTTCCCAGAGCAGGGGACCTGGGGCTTGGAACTAGACAATCTTCCTTCCAACCCAAACCATTCTATGATTTTATAATTCTGTGTTTGCCTTGCTCTGCCATGTACTTCAGCCCTGAGTGAGGAAAATCCCTTCTGAGGCCAGAAGAGGAATTTGCCTGCTTGCAGGAGTGAGGCTTGCAGATTTGGACATTTGGACGGGGGAGGATGGGGAGGAGTTTCCCCTTCTTGAATTGGGCATTTCATGCAAGTCTGGATCTGTTACAGAGCTCTAAACCTACAAAAATAAGAAGCTCTTTTATTCTGAGCAAAGTGGGAAAATGGTGAAGTTGTTTTGGTTGGGAGCTGAGGGCTGGGGGAAGGAGGGGAATGCTCTTGCAGCCAGACACAGGCTGCCTGTGGTCCCACAGCAGGCTGGAGGAGCAGCCTTCACAGAGGGTGGGGTTCAGCTGCTCCTGAAGTTTGTCCAAAAGCCATCTGGGCAGCTCAGAAATTGCTGTTTCCCCAAAACACAGCAGCCCTCACAAGGCAGCAGACCAGACTGTGTAGGAAGTCAGGTCCTGTGAGCTCTGAGAGCTGGCTCTGTTGTCAGAGCCTGGTAAGGGAGGCTGCCCTGTGGAATGTGTGCACAGGGGATTTGTTTTATTCTTCCTGGGATGTATCTAAAACAAATTCAAGACTGGTCTCTGGGATTTGTCTCTTCCTTCCAGACAAGGGAGTAGTTGCCTGTTGATAAATGAAGTCCAAATAGCAGTGCAGTACTGATAGAATACTAACAGAATACTGACAGTACTAGCAGAACTTTTGGAAGCAGATTTTGCAATATTTTACAGCTTGTGTAGCCCCTAAGGTATTACCAAACCAGATATTACAGAAAATGCCCCCTCCCAGTGCAGAAGGCTGATTGTCCAACTTGTTGTGAGAAACCAACTGCACAACTTGCTGTGGGATCCAACCAGCTCTCAGGGTTTCTGCATGGAAGGAAGCTATTTCTGTGGCTGCTTATTAGAGACATTCATCTGGAGCAGCTTTTTTTTGGAAATGGCAGTGAGCCCCATTTCCTCTCCTGTTTTTTAATGAAAATAGCATCTTCTGTAGTGTAGCTGTGGGTTTAAGCAGGATCTGAACGATGCTTTCCCCTTCGCCTTTTCACCTCTTGCTTTTCATCTCTATTTTCTAATGACATTAATGGCCATTAGACTGTGAAATGTAATTTGCCCAGAATACAGAGCTCCCATTGTTCATGGCTTTCTGTTTACCAGACGCTCCCTTGGGAGCATGAGATCTGCTTTCATCTGCTACAATTTCACCCCTGTTAATGTTTGGAAGCTCAAAGGCCAACCCATATTAATATTCAACAGAACGTTTCAACTCTCTTTTTCTCCAACAGGGGAAACTGGCCTTGGTAAGTCCACCCTCATGGACACCCTTTTCAACACCAAGTTTGAAGGTGACCCAGCATCTCACTCACAGCCTGGGGTCCAGCTGAAATCCAGTACCTATGACCTGCAGGAGAGCAATGTCAACCTCAAGCTGACTATTGTGAGCACAGTGGGCTTTGGGGATCAGATCAACAAAGAGGACAGGTGAGTGTGGGGGAGAGAGGCTCTATTGTGACCTGGCTTTTCATTCTCCCTGTGCCCTAGTTGGGCCTGACTGCACTGCAGTTTTCCTGCTTGCTTCTTAGGAGTTGTCCTTGTCACCTCTTTAGGTTGGGGTGTGTAGAAGAGAGGATAAAGGCTCTGGAGTGTCAGCACTGCTTCAGCTATAAAACAGCTTTTCTCATGCTGTCAGAGCAGTTTCTGCCCTGCTGGCAAGCTTCTGCCCAAATTCATCTGGTGGGCACACTGAAATGCTCCAGGGCATCTGGGCTTGTTTTGGTTTGTGCTGACCTCAAGCTGCTGACCAAACCACTAGTGTGGTTTAGTGTCTGCTTGGCTTAATATCCACTTTTGGCAGGGCTCTCCCATGGGAAGAGCCAAAGGAAGCACAATAAATGAGCAGTGAGATACCCTGGGGGAGTGTCTGTGGCAGCTCAGATCCCAGAGTGGCTGGAGTGTGTTGGTTGAGGGATGTGCAGTTACACCAGGCAGTCTCCAAGGTGCTCTGCAGAGACATTGCTGATGGGATTGCTTTTTTGTGGGTCTGCTGGATATTTTTTTTTAAGTTTGCTTAAAATGCGCTGATGTCCTTTACATTATAGCTCTGGCACGCTCTGTATTTCAGAAGGCCTTGCAAGGGAATTGCAGGAATTTCCTGCCTCAGAGCACTGGGCAAAGGTGGTACTGAATGAAGCTGTGTCTCCACCAGCAGCACTTGGGGCTGTGAGAGCAGCAAGCCATTCACTCCCTGAGTGCTGCAAATTAGCCTTGTTTTAGAAAGTCTCTCACCCTCACATTTCAAAATATGAGAGTCTGCTTTCCCTGGAGAGGAGGGTGCATCTGCTGTCCTCTGCTAAGTCCCAGTGCTGTGTTTTGGCAAACAGGCTGCTAGAGTCTGATGTAGGACCATGTGTCCTTGTCAGCAGTGCAACTTTAAAATTTCTTACAGGTGGGGAGCAAGGGAGGTAGAGAGTATTGTCAGAAAGTGGAAAATGGAAAGCGAAATCTATCAACAGCTTGTTACTTAGAAGTTCACAGTCAGACAAGCCAGGGGCATTGTCCTATTTGTTTAGCTCTCTGACTTTTTAGCTTTTTTTTTTCCTTTTACCCAAGCTACAAGCCCATTGTTGAGTTCATTGATGCTCAGTTTGAAGCCTACTTGCAAGAAGAGCTGAAGATCAGGAGGGTTTTGCACAACTACCACGACACGCGGATCCACGCCTGCCTGTACTTCATCGCCCCCACCGGCCATTCCCTGAAATCCCTGGACCTGGTCACCATGAAGAAGCTGGACAGCAAGGTTGGCACAAGGAGCTCTTACTGGGCAGATTCACTGTTTGCATAGTGGAAAGGTTGCTGCTTTTCCAGAGGATCTTGAATAGCCCTTCTGGTGGAAATGGCAGAGTTGGCAGATAATTCTGTAGATTTATTGAGCACTTACAAGTTTTTGGAGGTTGTATTGTAGACTTAGAGAAACTCCCAGGAGCAAAGTTGATTACTTCATACCTCTGTTTTTTTCTAGGTGAACATCATTCCCATCATTGCCAAATCTGATGCCATTTCCAAGAGTGAGCTGACCAAGTTTAAAATTAAAATCACAAGTGAGCTGGTCAGTAATGGAGTGCAGATCTACCAGTTCCCAACAGATGATGAATCGGTGGCAGAGATAAATGGGACAATGAATGTAAGTGCCTCAGTTCTTCCTCTTCTCCCAGAACAGCATGTAGGGGTTGGTGGCCCTTATTGGAATGTTTCTTAAATCTACTTTCCCTTTCATTTTGTTTCTTAAAAACAGAGGATTTCACAAGAGTCTCGTCCTTGTAGTGTCATCCTAGGCTAGGAGAGCTTTGTGGTAGGCTGCTGCCTCTCTGGTGGGCTTTTCTAGTCAGAAAGCAGACTTTTAATACCCTCCTTGTCCTCATGGGTATCTGTTGAGGGACATATAAGAAATCACTGTTTAAATCCTTTTCAGTTCAAGGGTTTGTCATTATTCCTGTCCTATACATCACCTGATGGCATCCTACCAGTAAACTTCAGTGGCAAGGAATTGCACAGCTTAACCAGGAGGGTGTGAAAAACAGTGCACAACTTGGGCCAGACATGGTTCAGGGTGCCTGCAGGTTCCCAGTCAGGCTCTGGCCTCCCCATTATCGTGGGTGCCAGTCTGTGGCTCCCTGAGGATGAAATAAACTGTCCCTTGCCTTTCTGGCAGCATATCCTGAGCATGGTGCCTTTATCCAGAAGGCTTTTCACAGGAAATCAAGTAGGGGAAGTTGATTGCTTTACTGCTGTGGGTGTGGTAGAGGTCTAGCTGAGGTGCATATGTGCCACCTCTTGATTAAGTATTAATAGTTGTAGAGTGTTCTGCAGAGGCTTGAAAGAAACATGAAGTTTGTCCTGATGTTGGAGCTGTCAGTGGTGGTTTCCTGGTCACAGCAGTTCAGTGTTAGCCCTTCTGAGGGTGGAATGAACCTCTGCTTCTCTTTCCTTTCAGCCGTTTTCTTGTCTCCTGGGAGGGAACTGATGTCTTGGGTTGCAGACATTCTGGGCTGTGTCAGTTGCTGCACAGACAAATCAATTCTTACATCCTCTATTACAGTCAGAATTACCAGGTTTATGGGGACTAAGCAGGCCAGAATTTGACCAAGGCAAATTTGCAGGTCTGGAAAGCTTGTATCCAAATACTGATATTATTAGAAACATAAGACAGATATTACTCTTACTCTGTGTGTGTCACATGTGAGAGCAGGGGGCTGAGGAATACAGGGGGAGGAGCCCATCTCTGTGAGTGCTTTCTGGCAGTTTTGCTTTGTTTGCAGTTTGACTGTGTGAGCCACACTCTGAAAGCAAAAACATCATCTCTGAAATCTTTTGCTTGTACCCAGCTGTCATGAACTTGTCCAAATTTTTGGATAACCTGTGGAATTCACTTCCTGCTCCTGACAGCAATCCAGGGTCTCTGATCTTCCATGGAGTTGGCTTCCTGAGGCCCTTTCAATTGTCCAGAATTTGGTGCACTTTAAAAGCTTTGCCTAACTTCACAAAACTCAGCAGGAAGGGTTGCTGCAAGGAGCTGGGAACTCAAACTGCTGAAGCTTTGCACTTGACTTCCTTGCAGCTTGGCAGAATGCAGTATAGCTCTAGGAGAAAGGGAGGTAGGGAGAAATCTCACTCCCCCAGTGCAGGAAAGTACTATGACAGTGTCTAGGGGGTTTGCTTGGCTGCCTGAGTTTTGAAAATGTGAGGACTGTGAGATCTTCAGAGCCTAGATAGGTATTGGGAGGGTTTCAATTCCAATTTTGCTGAGTTTGCACTGGGCAAGTCTCTTTTTGCCTTCTGCAGAGATCATCTTTACTAAGAAGCGACTGTTTCTTATTTCTGAGTTTTTGAAAAGCAAATCCCTCTTGTTCTTAGTCAGCCTTTGTGTAATGTGGAGTGCATATCTCAGCTTGAAGAGTGTGACCTTGGGTGACACTGGACACAGGGTTGGGGACATGTTCAGCCCTTCCTCAGCAGGGCAGAAGCAAGCAGGGAGGACGGAGCTGTTACTCCAGGAGTGAAGGATGGACTTCCATCTCATGATCTGATGGAGCAAGGTGTCTTGTGCTCCAGCAGGAGCTGAAGGAGTGGTGGGGGGATAAAATCAAGAAGGCTCCAAGACCTCTTACTGGTTCTGTGCTTGTGCAGATGTTCTCCTGAGGCACGGCAAGCCCTGGGACAGCAGCGCAGTCCGAGCCGCAGCCCTCTGTTCCAGCTGGCTCTCTGATGCCAGTCTTGCACTGGCTCATCTCACCTGAGACTCTGTGGCTGGGAGGATCAGCCAGGTAGAGGATATAGAGTGGTAGCACTAACAAGGTTTTCAAAAAAGGACCCACCCTGCTACCCCTTGTCTTGGACTAGTGGCCAGTGACTAGACTCCCTGAGATTAGCATGTGCATAATGACTGTGTTGCTCAGTGGCTGTGCCCATCTCTGTGTGCTGCTGCCCAGCCAGCTGTGAGAGGGACTAACGTGGATCTCACCCAATGTGTTCCAGGCCCATTTGCCATTTGCAGTGATCGGGAGCACGGAGGAGCTGAAAATAGGAAACAAAATGATGAAAGCTCGCCAGTACCCTTGGGGCACAGTGCAGGGTGAGTTCAGCCCTGGGATTTTCATGGCATGAATGGTGACACTTGTGCAAGTGGGCTCTCATAAAAACAGCAAAAGCCTGCTGGATGTGATTATCCATGGGGAATTATCCTTTGTTAAATCCTTGTGCCAGGCCTATAGTGCCAGTTTTCTCTGCTTGGAAGGGCTGTTAAACCTGGAGGAGTAGACAATTGAGGAATATGGGAAGAGATCTCAGTTTCTGTCCCCATTTTCCTCCTTCCCGTGCATTCCTGCAGTGGAGAACGAAGCTCACTGCGACTTTGTGAAGCTGCGGGAGATGCTGATCCGCGTGAACATGGAGGACCTGCGGGAGCAGACCCACACCCGCCACTACGAGCTCTACAGGCGGTGTAAGCTGGAAGAGATGGGCTTCAAGGACACTGATCCAGACAGCAAACCCTTCAGGTGAGATCCCTGCAGGAGACAGGAGGGCTCAATGGAGGCATTGTTGGATGCACTGTGTGCCTCTGTGTGTGTGTGTCTCCTTGGGGGAGCACGGAAAAAATCAATGCAGCAAGAAAAACTGCCAGGTCAGATAAATCCAGTCTTCAGCAAAGCTCTGACTGGGAGAAGGTGAAATCACAGGGAGGATCTGCAGGACTGACTGTGAATCTGCAAGTATGGGAAAGAAATGTCTGTGCTGCAGAAAGACAGTGATGCCTGTTTTGAGCTTACCTAGAAACAGAGGCCAGGCAAAGTTAAAAGGATAAAAGGGGATATTTTAATGAAGGGCCTCCATGTACATTAAGGGCAGATGAAGCCTCCCCAAGAGGCTGCACCCAAAATGGACAATGGTCACGAGTTTTTCAGACAGATGTAAGTTTGGTCTATTTACATATCAGGCATTAATCCTCCAATTATGGCTTCAGGTAATGAAGTCATAAACCCCCAGTTTGCTCCTCCCCAATTCACTTTTGTTTGTACATTTTGGGACCTGTAGGGTGTTCTTGGATCCCAGGCCCATCGGGATTGTTTTGTCTGACCAAAATGTGAAGACAGTTAACTAACACTTTATATGGAGTTTAGAATTATGCACTAATGCAGTACAGGATTTAAAAATATAAAGGCTGAAACCTTAAGGCATCAAAGGCAGTGTTCCTCTGAGCTAGTGTTTGTTGCCAGCTGGTCTCTTTGAATTGCCCAACATTCAACATACAGAGAAGTGCCAAAAATCATTGGATAAAGAACACCTTGGGCACATTGGGTAGTGAGTAGCAAATGTGTTGTGTGCAAAGCAATAGTCATGGTGAGGGCCCGATTTCAGAGGGTCAGGGAAGGCAGTTTGTCCCAAGTCTTATCACTGGACTTCCTTTCCTTTTCAGCTTACAAGAAACTTATGAGGCCAAAAGAAATGAGTTTCTGGGAGAACTGCAGAAAAAGGAAGAGGCAATGAGACAGATGTTTGTCCAGAGGGTCAAGGAAAAAGAAGCTGAGTTGAAGGAGGCTGAAAAAGAGGTAAAGACTGCAGTACTTGTGTCTCCATCTCCGTGATAGATTCACTCCCAAGTAGGTGGTTGTTGCCAAAGCACTTTCTTACCAAGAAGTCTAACTTGGATGGGGATGTTAAGGTGTTCAGTCTGTAGGACAAAACTGAATCACAGTGCTTGTTCTGTACAACTTACTGCACCAGGAAAGGACCAGAGTCTTGATTCTCATGGAGAGGTGCAGTGTGGTAAAAGTCAAGGAGAGAAGCAGCCCGTGAGGTGAACTTGTTTTACAAAAAATACACCCATACAACTTTCATAGCATTGTGAAAAATCTATGAATTTACTGACCTTTAAAGAGGAATAAGGCAGAGACCCCTGAAGATGGATTAGGGGTTTTTTTACACTTATGCTCACCCAATCCTCTGCACTGTTCTCAGTCTGCACAATGATGCATTACTGGAACACTGCCTGTAAGTTCTTGTGGAAGGAGGCTGTTCCCTGCCCTTTGTCTGGTAGTGCCACGTCCTGCTCACCTCTCTCCTTTCCTTTCAGCTGCATGAAAAGTTTGATCGCCTGAAGAAATTGCATCAGGATGAAAAGAAGAAGCTGGAGGATAAGAAGAAGTCTCTGGATGATGAAGTAAATGCATTTAAACAAAGGAAGACAGCAGCTGAATTGCTTCAGTCACAGGCTCAGCAGGCTGGAGGATCACAAACTCTTAAAAGGGATAAGGAAAGGAAAAAGTAAGTTGCCAACCCAGAGGTATTTGCTTTTGGTGATGATTCTCCTTCACTATTTTTCTGGATGTTCATATCTCCCTCCAACATAGCCAGTCCTTATCAGGGGCAGGCTTGCAGCCAGATTTAAACCCCAGTAAGGCTGAGCAGTATCTGGAAGCATGTAACATCTGCTGTCATCCTGAAGAGCAGGGAGCAGTACTAACCTCCCTCTTTGCTTTCTGACAGCATGGGAGAGGATGAACTTGTTTTTATTCCCCAAGATTCCCTGCTCCTCCCTTGGTCACTCAGTGCTTGTAAAGAAGTGGAACCATACTAGCTGCCAAGGCTAGGGTGTGGGTAGGAGGGGTGTCCCGTTACCCTCAGAGAGGAGCATGTTTTAGCTCAGGTTCTTACTTGTTCAGCTTGGGAAAATAGTGGAAATTATTCAGGCAGACTAACAGTCTTGAATTCCGGAATCTGCAGAATGTAAGACTGCAAAATAAGGGGACAGGTCACAGCATCTTGTTAGCACTGGTAGTGTTCTCCCATCCTAAATCAGCTTTGTGCCCTCCCCAGCAGCAGTGGGAGATACTACATGGCTGTAGCAGGGGATCCCAGTGCCAGGGACTGGTGTGACAGGATCCAGCCCCTCATCAGGGGCCTGGGCTGTCTGCAGTGCCTGTGCTGGGCTCCTGCAGCTCTGCAGTTGCTCAAGAGCAGCCAGCAGTACAGTGAAACAGATCTCCCACTTGTCCCAGCACTGAGCAGTTCCCTTCCCTCTCACTGACCACATTTCCCAAAAGGAGCACTGTGCCACCTGTGCAGGTGTGCAGAGAGACAAACAGGGGTCTGGTTTTGCACCACTGCCATAATCCCCCCCTGCACAGCCCTGGGGCAGTCCTTGCCTGCTCTGTGCAGTCCTGAGTGCATGAAGAAGTGCTGTTAAATTGGACAGTATGGGGCATGCCCAAAGTGCTGGCGGCACTGTTTGTCAGGGAAAAAAACCTGTGACTGTTAAGCTTGGGATCAAATGAGACAGAGGAGGAAAGACCCAATTCCAAGAATGAGATCCTGGTTTAGTCTTTTAGTTTAAAGCTGAAGCTGCTTCAACATGAATGTTCTTTGTGCTGAGCAATTAGTGCTGCACTTTTCTCACTCGCCCATTCCTTTCTCCACTGCCTGTTTTGATTTGTTCATTTGAATCACCTTCAGGGGGTTTTAATATCTTTTGATACTGAGGAGTCTGAGACTGACTGGGGACAGACTTCTCTCTCCAGGCTGGACTGTGTGAGGAACACCCAGCTGAGTTCTTTCATGCTTAGAGCCCTTCCGCATCTGCTCTCTCAGGACTGCAGATTTCAGCCTTGAGATCAGTCAGGGTCAGGAATGCAGAAAAAGGAGGCAACAGCCTTATAGTATCAGCAATTAGTTGCTGTGTCCCAAGTCAAACTCTTGGTCCTTGAAGTGGTTCTCATCTCAGAACATCTCCTTGACACCAAGCATGTTGATGTGGAAAAGCTTTAGTACTGTTCTTATCAGTTAAGGACACAGAAAACTCCATGACAGAGATAGGTCAGTGCTTCAGTAAGGCTTGGGAAGATAATAGGAACCTTCTTTGGCCGCTGGAAAAATTGCTGTGCTAGAAATGGTGCTGCTTTCTTTGCTCTGTAACTGCTCCAAGTGTCCTTCATAGTGGATTTCAGTACTTAGATCATATTTTTTTCTTAACAATCCATGAATTTTGCAAGCTGGAGCTTAATTGTAGCTTGTTTACTACTGGCTGGCAATACAATAACCATTTTCTTTCACAGGTGACTTGTTTAAACCCAAGCTCTGTAATTTGCACTAATCATGACTCAGTTATTTTTTTGTTGTTGTTGTTACATCATTATCATCATCATCAGGCCTCACATGTGTGCTGTTTTACAGTTAGCTGCTGTTTGGCTGCATGGTGCATGAGGCACATTGTCCTGGTAAGCGTCATTAACTCATAGAGCCTCACAGTGGGATCACTTTTTCCTAAAAAAGCAGATCCTGTGCAAGTCCTGAAGCTTATAAGTATTATCTCTGTCTTCCCCTGCTTTCACCCCACTATATGTGCTCTACCAGTCACTCCCTACATGTGCAGTTGTAGAAAAAGTATGTAATTATCTTTAAATATTCTACAAAGTTTAATTCAGAGACTCAGGATATGGAACACAGAAAATTAAGGATTATATTTTCTTCCTTTTAAATCTTCCCAGCGCTTCATTGGCTCTGTTCTCTTTATTCCATCTCCCTTAAAAATAAATTATATTCTTTAATCACAAAGGCCATGTTGACACTATGGCAACGATTGCTATGGAGATGTGGTGCTGATGACACAGCCCAGCAAGCCATGAAATGTCTCTCTCTTTTCTTGCTCCTCCTTCCCTCCCACTCCTCCAAGCTGCAATGTTAACTTGTGGTTACAGTGAAGGTAGATGCAGGACTAGTTTGTGTCATCCTCATTAGGGTTATTAGTTAAACTGCTAATGACAGTGGTCTACTTACAGCTAGGTTGAGTGGGTTTAATTGAGCATTTTTAATTTGCTGATGATTCTCTGGGTGAGAGGAAGAGGAAACCTCCCACAGGAATGTCTTGCTTCTTGACAGAGCAGCAATACTCATTATCCAAGACAGTGCCCCAGGGCCTGAGGTGCACAGGCCTCTCAGAGAAGGGGCCCTGTTGGAAATAAACTATAAAACACCCTCAAAACTCATCCTTGAGCCCACCCTGCCCTGCAGACAAAGCTAAGACTTACATTCTCTCCTGGATAGTCCAAACTAAATTACAGTCTACCCTTCAACTGGGTGAAGCTGATTCCAGGATTCCTTCCCTCTTAACTCCACCAAGGGAAATGGCAAAGCAGGCAAACATTATGCTGCCAGTGAGAGGCATTGGAATGTCATTTAAATGGGACCTTCCACTTAACAGAAGAGCCTCAGAAGGGTCTTGCACTGCCTCAACTGGCACTTGCAGTCAGCTTGAGCTGCCCAGTTGAGTGAATGTCTCTGCTGCCAACGGTAACTGTAGAACAATGGGAAGAACAATTCTCTCCTTATCAGGCTCTGAATGTGGAAAAATAAGCTCAAAGAATAACAGTGTTCATTCTGGTGCTGAGTACGAAGGCACAGCTAAAGTGCAGCTAGAGTGAACATTACTGATTTTTGTTGGTTTTGGATTGCTTTTGGCAGTCCTCATAACTGTACACTGTTGTGTGCTGGGCTTTGGATCAAATGAAGTTCTTTGTTCCCACTACACAAATGCAGACAGTGCCTTTTTCAATGGGCATTTGTCATTGCTAAATTAAATATGTATATGTGGTACTTTTCCAGGATTTAGAAAAACACTCTCCATATTGATCCATAAAGTGTTGCAGGGCTTCACTGTTTTGCAAGGATACAAACAAGTCACAGTTGATGAGTCCTGTAGCTTGCAAAACTGTGAAAGGATTGTTTTAGAAAATAAATTTGGTTCATCCCACTGCTGAGAGAGTGTGTGTGTGTCTGCATAAAGCATGTTTTGTAGTCAGATTAAACCTTATTAACACTTAGCAACATTTTCTTTTGTGTGTGTGTGCCCATTAGAAAAACTTGGATTTTTATTTTGTTTTTTTGTCATTAATCCATAAAACCATTAACCTGCCTTTTTCTTTCATTTTCAGTTCGGGTTTCCTGTAGAACCTTTCCCTTGGCCCCAGAGGCGAATGCCCCACCCTCGGCTGTGCCTGTTTGCTCACCTTTCCCACTGCCCCTCCCATGCTCTCACACAGAGCTCTGGGCTGCTGGGCTGTTCCTGTGGGGGACCCTGCTGGCCAGGGGGGCTCTGCCAGCTCCCTCCTGCCCCTGGGCAGCAGCAGATGCCCCCTGCTCCTGGCCAAGGCTCCCTGTCCCATTGCTCAGCTTTTCCCTGCTCCTGCTGTCAGAGCTGCTCGGGGGTGCATTCAGCTCCTGCTGGGGTGGGATGTGCTCTCTCCAGACACTGGCTGCCCTCTCCCCATGGTAATTTGCTGTTCCTAAGCCCTCATTACCCCCTGTGCTGCCATGTGTGACTCAAATAACTTGCAAGAACTTTTTGTAAAACTTGACGTCCTCACAGGCATGGGCGTGAGTCCAAACCTCTAGTTCCCAGGCTTGAGGAAATCTCAAATTTGGATCCATGGTTTGCAACTAAGTGTTCTCTGAATGCTGCAGGGGTCATGAAGGATCTTTTGCCTGGTCTCCCTCTCAGTGTGCTGACCTGGATGCACATCCTGGATCCAATCTCAGGGAAAGCTGGTCACCTTGCTGTACATATCAGTGTTTCTGAAGAAAGACCATGCTGTTTCATTGACTTTCTTCTCAGTGATTCCAACAATTTCTGGTTTTAATGCAAAAAAACCACTTTTATATTTTTTTTATCTGACATCTCTTTAGAACTGTACAGATGTTGACAGGTTTCTTATATTTTCTATTCAGCAAAAGCCTTGTTTTTATTGCAAGATTTGCACTAAAAAGGAGGGGGTTTTGCTCACTGGGCCAGGAGCTCACTCTGGCCAAGTGCAACTGTGGTTTGCCTGCAAGTGTCTGCTCTCTGTATTTCTGGCTGAGTTTTGTTTTTAAATAAAGAGTTCATCAGACAGTGAATTCTGGTTAACATTTACTTCTTTTGTTTTTTGTTTTTTTTGCCCTTCTTTTTCAGTAACCCATGGCTCTGTACTGAGTAATTACCCCTGAATACAAGGCCTGGAATGGACCTTCATTTACTTGTTAAATCGGAGGGTCTAATAAAACATGACAGCATTTCAGCTGTGACCTTCCCAGGGTGTTATCCTTGCTCTCTCCTATGTCCTCGTTGTGATTCTGTCTTTACTATGTACTGGTGGTTATTGCTTTTATTAAACAATGTAAAATTAGTCACAACAAGTTCTGGATGCTACAACTTTAAATCCTGCCATTTCCCCCCCCCCTGCAATTAATGGATTCCCCTTTTTCCTGGTCTCATTCCACCCAGCTAAATAAGGGATATGGAAATAAGTTCTGTGAGTTATTTTTGCTGGCGAAATAACAGCGCAGTTTAGATATAATTATTGATGACATTAAAATGACAACACCATCTTAGTTTAATTATCACATAGTTCAGAGATAAAACACTCATTTCTCATTCTATTTGTTGTCATTTTCATGACATCATCTGTCTTTTTTAATTTGCTTTTTTTTTCTTTTGCTAATTCATGCTATCTGAGGACTAGCATGTAAATCCTGGTTCCCATTTCAGACTTGTTTGTTGTGGTCCCATCCTTCAGAGCTCTGTGTGTGCTGAACCCACCTGTGCTGCCCCTGCAGAAAGATCAGATGAGTGCTGCCAGCCAGCCTCCACAACCCCCCAGATCTTTCAGGAGATGAGCACACTCAGGCCTGGCCCTGGTGGTGATGCTGCTCAGTGCCAGCTGCTGCTGAGGTTTTACCTGTTTTACCTGCTCAGTAAAGCTGGGGCTTTACTGAGCAGAGCTCTGTGGTCCCAGGGCTCAGCAGCAGTCACAGCTCAGGCTCAGCCTGGTCCTGCTCACAGCAGCAGCCCCAGGTCAAACCATGGCTCCCCCTTCCCAGCAGTCAGGGCAGCCCCAGCTCTTGGTTGCAATTATTTTCTCAGGTATTCTGTTTCACCATAAATACCATTTCATTTTCCCATAGAACTCTTTGATTGCTTTGTGTTTCATTTGGCATTCTTTTTAGCAAGTTGAAATTATTTGAATATTTTCTTCTTCCTCTGCTTTTGAATGTTTCCCTGCTCTCAAAACCAGTCAATATTAATCTGTCAATGATTTCTAATTATCTGCTAAAAGGACAAATGAATGTGACATTTTTTTACCATACTGCAGGTCACTATCTGTTCTTCCTGACCATTTGCCTTATTAGAATGTTATTTAAAGTTATGTGAAATCTTTTTAAAGACTTTAAAGAAAGAAAGGTTTTTACTTGTGTGATTTTGCTGAAGTACTTGAGATACCACATGGAGGTTCCATCTCTCCTCTGTCAGCTGTTTCCATGTTGCATCTCTTTTTCTTGCTTTTTGAATGTCTTTCCCTTTTTTGCTAATCTTCTGTTTTTTCTCTTTTTTCCCCTTTTCTCTCTCTGTAGCTTTTTTTAATCTGTCTTCGCCAGCTGCACTGTGTCTGAGGGAGAAGACTGCCACTTCTAGAAGAGTCTAAGGGTCTTATGTCTGGGGAGGGGGGAACAAATCTTCAGTGTTAGTGTCTTGGAAAGAAGCTCTTTTACTGACTTGCATGATACTTAAAATTGAAGTGTCTTGTAATTTGTGTGACAAGACAGGGCGATGGGGGAACCGATGACCTGGAATTTTGAAGAGCTACAGAAATGTGATGTTGGGACTAATGATGTAGCGAATACATTTTCAAACGTTGTTATGGGCATATGTTTTTTCTAATGTTGTCTTTAATAATATAAATGTCACAGGCTTCCCCGAGGTGTGAAGCCTAAGGAATATTTTCAATATGCTGGTGGTTTGATTGGTTTTGGAAACCTTGCATTCAGAGTCAAAGCAAATACAAACATGGTGCAACTTGCTCTGTTGGCAGCCACGAAATATTTAATTTTATCAAAGAAATAAAGTAAGAACTGTGTGTTCTCACTGGTGTCCTGCTGTGTCTCACCATCCTGTTAACAGAGCCCCATTGGCTGGTGGATGTGAGTCAAGTGGTGCTTTCTCCTTCCTTACCCCACCTGCTCTTGTTTCAAGTTAGCGGCAGCCGGCGGGGCGGGGCGGGCTGAGCTCCGGGGCCGCCCTGAGCCCGGGCCCGGCCGCCTTTGCTGTGCGCACACGGAGAACAACGGCACCGGCACCGCGCTCGGCAACGCCGAGGAGCCTGCACTGTTCCGCTGTCACCTTTCTAACTTTCATGTACATTTGAAATAAAAAACACGAAAGCCAGCGCGGCTGCTGTGGTGTGTGTCTGTGTGTGTATGTGACTGTATGTGTGTGTGTGTTTTTGATTGTGCACTGCAGTGGGGAGTGGTGTCTCTGCCCTGGAGTGTTGCCAGTCTCAGAAGTGATGTGATTTTAGCTGGGACAGGTGTGTCCCAAGGGTAGTTGTACACCTCCATTTCACCCTATTTTAGCTTTTCCTCTCATTTTCTGTGCATTTCACTTACTTGGCCCTTTGGTATTTAGTTTAAAATTTGGGCTTTTGCTTGGCTTTCATGTAAGTGCATTGCAGGGTTGCAACAGGTGAGGCAGCAAACGGATAGGTGTAAAATGGGGGCTGAGTTTTGGGGAGCAGTTGTTCAATCTGAGATGATGCAGCTACACACATCCACGTGACCTGTCCTCTTCCTCCTCCTCTCTTCAGCTGCTCTGAACAGCAGCACTTTAACAACTCATCCATTTGTGTCTCTGGCTGCTCTGGGGTGTGCAGCACACGCTGGGCAGGGCTGCAGTGCTGAGGGTGGGGGGACAGGCCCGAGCAGGGGCTGCTGAGCGAGCAGGGGCTGCTGAACGGGCTGGGGGTGCTGAATGTGCAGGGACTGCAGGGGGAGGAACAGAGGAAAGGATGCAGAGCCGGGGGCGGGGGTGTGAGTGAGTGAGTGAGGGGGAGTGTAAGTGGCTGTGAGCAGTGTGCAAGAGTGTGAGCAAGTGTAAGCAAGTGTGAGTAGTGTGCAAGGGTGTGAGCGTGTGTGTGTGTGTGTCTGTCTGTCTGCGTCTGTCTCTGTGTCTCTTTGTGTGTGTGTGTGTGTGCCGCTCGCTGCGCCCGGCGGTCACGGGGAGGCCGGAGCTCGGTGGGGATGGCGGATCCCGGCCGCGGGCAGCGCAGCGCCACCCCTGTGGCAGCCGCGGCTGTTGGGCAAGGCCTGGGGCAGATCCCGGGGAGGGCGGCACCGGGCGGACACCGTAGGGCCCGTGAGGCCCGTAGGGCCCCGCTCCCGGCAGCGGCCGCCAGGGAGCGCTGAGGCCGCCGCGCCGGCCCCGCCATGGCGGCTCTTTCTCGCGGCGTCTCGCGCGATCGTGACGCGCGGCCACGTGACTCGGCGCCGGCCGGGCCGCGCCGTTCGGCCCCGCGCGAGTGACGGGAGCGGAACCGGGAGCGGAACCGGGACGGCACCTGCGGGGCGGGGCCGCCAGCCAACGGGGCCGGGCCGGGGCAGGTGACGGCGGAGCCGAGGCTGGGCCGGGCCGGCGCTTCCCGGCGGCCCGCAGCGAGCCGCGGCCTGGTCCACACGTGGGGCCTGGTCCCGCCGTTCGCGCCCGGGCCCGGCGGGTGCGCGCCCCTGGCGGGGTTGGGCCCCGCGGCCTTTGCCCGCCATGCCGCCCCCGGCAGAGCCGCAGCCGGAGGCGGAGAACGAGCCGGCGCTGGAGCAGTGGCGGCAGTACAACGAGACCGACCGGCAATGGGCGCTGCGCCGCCGCTTCATCCTCCGCCACCTCCCCGCGTACCCCGGCGGCGCCATCGACCAGCTGCTGGCGCTCTCCGTGCTCTGGACCAACCACGTCTTCATGGGCTGCAGGTGAGCGCGGGATCCCGCCGGGCTCGGGCGGGCTCTCGGTGGCCGCTGTCAGCCGGGGTGCCCGCAGGACACCGGGGCTCGGGGCGCTCGGCGGGACGGGCCGTGCCGCGGGCAGGAGCCGGTGAAGCGGAGCGGGACCGGAGCCCCCGCCGGGAGAACGGGCTCGGGCTCCCGTGGGAGCCAGACCTCGGCCCCAGATGCGATTTGGAAAGGAGCCGCAGGACAGCTAGGGTGGAAGGGGCTGAGGCAAGAGAGCTTCAGTCCCTGCCGGTTTTGTTCGCTCGAGTGTGCCGGTGTGTGTTTGTGGAGGGCAGCAAGCCGCTGGAAGAGTTGATGGGTGTTTGCAAGTAGTTCTTGATGTCCCGCCCCCAGGACTCGCTGAGCTTGCGGTGCTGTGTCATTTAAATGAGCAGAGAGCGTCCCTGGGAGCACAAAGCCGCCTGTGCAGTCCCCTGAAGGCTCAGCTTTTCGTGGGGAAGTGAAGGGGAATCCTTTCATTCAGCCGTCCCGGCCGTAGGCAGGCTGTGCATATCTGCACAAACGTCACCCACGTTCACAGACGCCTTTAATGATGAGATTGTTTTGTTTTCAGCTAGACGGAAGCAGTTGCTTAACCACCAACTTCTGCAAACTGTGGCACAGAGATGGACTTTTAATAATGTTCCATCCCGCAGCCTTGTGGGGAATACTTTGTGTCATCTCTACAGAGCAAAATCAGTATCTTTAAATACACATCTGCCTGTTTCCTTTTTTTTTTCCTGAGTCAAATTTGGTGCCCTGCAAGCACCAAAATTTAACATAGATTTTAAATAGTTTCAAATTCCAAAGCTTGAGCAAATGTTAAAATTGAGTATATACATATATTCTTCATATACAGTCATATACAGTGGTCCATCTTAATGTGTTTGTATGCTGTCTTAATGGGGACTTTCTCTGTGCCAGGGCTTTTGGGAATGGTGCAATAATCACCTACAGGGTGCTGCTAATAGAAGTGAAAAACTCTGTGGGAAGGTTTCAAATCCCAAAAACCGCTGCAGTTTAAGCCTGTCAGTGCACATACTTTCTGTGATGAACTCCTTCACCTGCAGCTCTCAGAGGAGATGAGATTTGGGCAGGATGCAGTCTGAAGCCATTATCAGTGAAGATGTTTCCCCAGAGCTCGTGTGCCTGGCTGGAGCACTGCAGGGAACATTCTGTACTGTTAAAACAATTCCAGCTTTACTTACAGTTGCCTGGGGCAGGAAGGGACCTGCAGCATTCCCTGCAACTGCCTTTGGTGTTTGGGAAGAGATGTTGTTGATTTATCAAGTAAATATCTTCAAAGTTTGAGAGATTTTTGTTGTTTTTGTTTTGTTGGCTGGTGTTTGGTTTGGAGTTTTGTTTTGTTTTGTTTTCCTAATGCTGGTTTCTTGCCAGCTGTTTGTCAGAGCAGCTCAGCTGGTTAGAGCAGGGTGCTGATAATGACAGTGATGTGGGTTCAGTCCCTATGTGGGTCATTCACCCAAGACTTGGACTCGATAATCCTTGTGGGACCCTTCCAACTCAGCCTGTGGCTCTGGGAAGAACAGATCAGAGGCTTTGCTGTGAAATCAAACTGAGTGTTCTGCTGGGAGATGATGTGGAGAGCATCCAGAAGGCTCAGAACACATAGTCTGTGAGGGAAGGGTTAAATAAAAGGCTTCATTAGTTCAGGTTTAGATGAGAGAAGGTGCTCCTGTTCCCAGATACGTTAAAGGTGGCTGAGAATGGGGGCAGTGGTGCAGGAAAGCGTTGTGCTCCAGAGTTACAGGATCAGGACAAGGGGTGACTTGTGAAAGTCACAGCAGGGAGACTCCAGTTAGCTAAGGGAGGCACTGGGATCCTCTGGCCAGATGAGACAAACACATGTTGAGACTGGCTGATCTCCTCCCCACCCCCAGCTGAAATATGAGCCCCAAAGGTCTCCATCCTTTGTGAAGGATGACAGGTGTCAAATCTGACACTGCTCTTGCACCCTGCTGGAAATGGACACTGCCCATCACAGGTAATGTCACCTTGTCCCTGTAAGTCAGGGGGAGAAACACATTCCCACTGCTCTCCCCTTTGGCTGCGAGAGGACAGGGGATGTCCTGGTTTGAAGGAAGGCAGGAACCTCCCTTGGAATGGAAAATATGACCCCCATCCCTCTGAATTATTATAACTTTGAAATTAAGGGACTTTCAGCAAAGGTTTGGGGAAGGGAGCAGCAGTTCTTTACTAGAATGTGTGTGCACATCCCAGACTGTCTGTGTCCATCCCGAATGTGTGTGCACACGCCAGACTGTGTCCATTCCCAGTGTGTGTGCACACCCCCGACTGTCTGTGTCCATTCCCAGTGTGTGTGCACACCCCAGACTGTCTGTGTCCATCCCCAGTGTGTGTGCACACCCCCGACTGTCTGTGTCCATCCCCAGTGTGTGTGCACACCCCAGACTGTCTGTGTCCATCCCCAGTGTCCGCACTGTCCCTGTGTCCCGCTGTCACAGCCGAGCCCGCCCCGGCCGCGCTGCCCTCGCTGCAGTTCCGGACCCGGCCGGCAGGGGCGCTGCTGGCTCCCGGCCTGTGGGGGAGCGATGGTTCCCGCGGGGGGCAAGGAAAACAAAACAAAATAAAATAAAATGTAACAGAAACTGTGCAGCCCTAGCGGGAGCTTCGGGGTTGGGTGACGCGGAGTGCAGGGTTAAAGTGTAGCAAAAAAGCCCCAGGCAGCGCAGAAAACACCGGGGCTGGGCTGTCCTCCTCCTGTGCCGACAGCGAGAGAGGGAGTGAGAGGAGCTGAGCCCAGCCCCTCACCCATGGCCAGAATCTCATGGTGTCTTTGCCCTTCCAAAGAGAAAACCCCCCAGGTAAGAGAGTGAGCAAGCTGCACACTTCCCCCACCTTGGCCATTTCTTTAGTCTCTCTTAAGTACTGGTCATTATTTTCTCTTAGTAACAGATGGGACAAAATTCCATGAGAGAAAGAAACAAAAGGAAAAATCCTAACCCCCAGCAGGGCATCACCACTATCCCATCTCCCTTTGATCCCTCCTGGAATTTTCTTCCCATTCCCGGTTCCACTGCCTCCACTGAGGGCTGAGCTGTGCTGGTGAAGCAGGGACTGCAGTGTTCT